GGTGAAAAAGCAGGAGGATGAGAAGAGGTTTCCTCTTTGTTGTATCTTAATTGTTTTTAACTAAAAAAATAATCTGTATGTCAGAGGCATATTTTGGGGCAACATTCTGGTTTTCTTTACTAATGAATTTTAAATAACTTACTGTTGTTTCCTATACAACTTTCTCTTCACCCTAGTGAAGTGAGTATTCATACATAGCTGAAGGGTATTATGATGTACATTTTTTGAGGGCTTTATCATGAGCTTTGAAAATACCCTTAACCTGAAAATTTGTCCTAATGAAGTAATATTAGAAAAAAAATTAGGATGTACAAATGTATGTTAGTTGATAATAGTCCAGAGTTGGAAATGATGGTATTCATCTGCAAGATGAAATATAAATTTTCAAACATTTATTAGAATATGAGAAAATTCTTACAGTGTAGTTTTTAAAAGAAATAAGTGCTTTACTCATTTATTAATACCTCAGTAGGAGGTGACTTTCGGTCATTCCGTCATCCCTTTTTAGTCTCTGGTAACTTTCTCGTCCGTCCTTGCTTGATGTTGTTAGTCTCCTTTTCTGACTCCTTGTCTTTTTGTGTGAGCTTTCTAAGTGTAGTTTTTCAGTGCTTATTCCTAAACTCTGCACTTTAATTTTTTAATTTTTAAAATTAACATCCAATAAAATGGACCTTTTGCGGTATACAGTTTGATAAATTTCAGTCCATGTATAGATTTGTGTAATTGTCACTGCACTTAGGATACTGAGTAGTTCCATTACCCCATTAAAAAATAATAATCATAAAAACACTTTGAGGATCACACCTTTCCTAACCCTTGGCAACCACAATGGTTTTATCTTTTGGAAAATGTAGCCTTTTGTTACTGGCTTCTTTGGGAAACTCAGCATAATGCTTTTGAGATTGATCCAAGTTGTGCGTATCAGTACTTCAGATATCTTTTTTATTTTTCCTTTTTATTACTGTATATTTTCTGTTATGTATTTGTTCCACAATATGTTCATCCAATTTGTCTGTAGATGGACATTTAGGTTGTTTTCAGTAAGTATGAATAGAGCTGCTGTAAACTTTGTGTGCAGATTTTTGTTTGAACATAATTTTCATTTCTCCAGGACAAATACTACTCATGAATGGACTGTTGGATCATATGGTAAGTATGTGGTGTACTTTCTGAGAAATTGCCAAATTATTTTCCAAGGTAGTGGTACCATTTTGCATTTCGCCTATCAATGTATGAAGGTTTTGTCTAACCATCCTAGGTTAGCATTTGGTATTATAATATTTTTGTTAGTCACTGTAATAGATATGTAGTAGTATCTTTTTGCGGCTTTAATTTGCATTCTTAAGTGTCTGTGATGTTGAACATTTTATTTATCATTCCTATATCCTCTTGGCTGAAGGAAGGAGTAAGGTTTGCTTGCCTGTTCCCTTGGTGCTTTCTCTGGGTAACTGAGTTTATAGTTGATTTTTAACCCATTTTAAAATTGAGTTATTTCCATATTTTTAAGTTTGAGGTTTCTTTACATGTTCTGAATGTGTGTCCTTAGATATATAATTTGCAAATATTTTTTATCAGGTTATAGCTTTTCTTTTTATTCTCTTAACAAAGTCTTAGAATATATACCTTTCTAAAAACAGCTTTGTTGAGTTATAGTTTACATTCCATAAAATTCATCTGTCTTAAAATGTGTACAATTCAATAATTTTAAGTAAATGTACAGAATTGTGCAACCCTTACCACAGTCCTGTTTTAGAGCATCTCTTATCACCCAGTGGATCTCTTGTACTAGTTGGTCTGTGTTCCTGTCTCTAGTCCCAGGTAACAATAATGTGCTTTCTGGACATTTCATATGAATGGAGTTCTGAAATATGTAGGCTTTTAAAATTGTTTTATGGAGATTTAGTACACATCATAAAATTTACCCATTTATACTATTAGAATTCAGTGGTTTTTATTAGTACATTAACAGAATTTTTCAACCCATCAGCACAATCTAATTTTTTTTTTTAAGATCTTAGAAAAATTTTTTTCATCCCCTGAAAGAAACCTTGAAATTCTTAACAGTTATTCTGTGTTCCTCTCCTCACCTCTGCTCTAGGCTATCGTTATCTACTTTCTCTATGAATTTACCTATTCTAGATGTTTCACCTGAACGGAATCACAATACTCTGATTTCTCTTCAGATTGTATCTTTCACTAAACGGAACCACGTAGTATGTATTAGTTTTTGACTGACTTCTTTCATTTGGCATAAGGTTTTCAAGGCATGTCTATTTCGGCATGTATGAGTACTTCATTCCTATTTATTCCTGAATAGTTTTATATGTCCATTCATCAGTTGGTGAACACATGGGTTATTTCCACTTTGGGTCATTATGAATAATGCTGTGAATCATAGTGTGCAAATTTTTGTGTGGATATATTTTCATCTTTAAAATTATTTTTGGTTATGCTAATGGCTATGATTTATTAAAGTGGAAGGAAATGCAGCAGAACCATCAAAAGGAAAAAGCACATGGAAAAATTCCAGAGCAAATCAGGCACCTCATCCTTTAATTTTTCTACTACCTGTATGATTATATTTTTCTTTCTTTCTTTATTTTTTTAGTTATAGTTGGAAATAATACCTTTATTTTATTCATTCCCCCTTTTTTTTTAATGTGGTGTTGAGGATCGAACCCAGGGTCTCGCATATGTGAGGCAAGCGCTGTACAGTTGAGCCATAACCCCAGCCCTATATTTTTCTTTTTGACAGCCTTTCATTGGATTGTTACACATTCATTTTGACAATCTGTTATAAATGTGATTAGATCATTTATATGTGGTATAATATAATCCAAATTATTTTGGAATTTGGGTCCATAATATTTTAAAATATTTTTTTCTTAGTTGTAGATGGACACAATACCTTCAATTAATTTATGTTTATGTAGTGCTGAGGATTGAACCCAGTGGCTCACATGTGCTAGGAAAGTGCTTTACCACTGAGCTACAACCCCAGCCTCCAGGTCTATCATTTCTTGTTTGTTCTTCTCTGTCTTGAAGTATTTGAACATTGTTATTTAGTGTTCCATTTTATTTATTTTATGTATGTTTGTATCTCTCGTTTGATTGTCCAGGGGTCCATATAGGGATTTCAATATATACGTTGAACTTTTTACATACTGCTTAGACTCAGTGTTTACCACTTCAAGTGAAGTATGGAAACCTTATCATCATATAGTTCTCTTTATTTTTTCATCTTTATGTTATAATTGTTACATGTTATATCTATTATATGTACATAAATTGAAGGGCCCATACAGATGGTACTACATACTTTATGTTTCTAGTCATCAAACATATTTTAAACAACCTAAGAGAATAGTGTATTTTGTTTGCCCAAATGTTGATCAGTTTTTGTAGTTGTTTATTTTTTTTAATATTTATTTTTTAGTTATAGGTGGGTACAATATCTTCATTTTATTTTTATGTAGTGCTGAGGATCGAACCCAGTGCCTCACATAGTAGGCCAGTGCTCTACCTCTGAGCCACACCTCCTGCCCCTAGTTATTTATTCTTCGTGTTCCAAAATTTCCTTCTAGTATTCTTTCCCATTTTATCAGAAAAACCTTTGACAATTCCTTTAGAGCAAATCTTCTGGCAACAAGTTTTTGCTTTCAACTGAAAATGTGTTTATCTTATCTTCATTTTGGAAGGATAGTGTCTGTGGATATAGAATTTTGGGTTATGACAGAGTTTTTGTTTGTTTGTTTCAGTGCTGGGAGTTGAACCTAGGGCTTCAAGTAAATGCTCTAACATTAAGCTACCTCCCCAGTCTTTGTTTTTCTTAACACTTAAGATTATGTGTTCTGCTTTCTAGGCTCCATGGTTTCAAATGAGAAATCTTAAGTGACTTGAATCATCATTCTATAAATCTGATTCTACACTTTTGTCTGACTGTTGTCTCCCTAAGTGATCTCATCCAGGTCCGTAATTTTATTTTTATTTTTATTTTTTATTTATTTTTTTTTTTTAAAGAGAGAGTGGGAGAGAGAGAGAGAGAGAGAGAGAATTTTTTTTTAATATTTATTTTTTAGTTCTGGGCTGACACAACATCTTTGTTTGTACGTGGTGCTGAGGATCGAACCCGGGCCGCACGCATGCCAGGGGAGCGCGCTACCGCTTGAGCCACATCCCCAGCCCCCAGGTCCGTAATTTTAAATACCATATAATGCTGATGACTGCAGCCCAGGATTATCTCTGACCTCCAGATTTATATATCACAGATCTTAGTTATCTCTCTCAAACTTACTTGTCCATGGAACTTGAGATATACTACTATTCTGAGTGAGTGACATGGCCATCTACCATGTACTTAAGCCTGAAACTTAGTAGCCAACAAACCACCCAACTACCCCCATGTATGTTGTATCTACATTATCTGCAAGTCCTGTGGATTTCCATCTGCAAGCCATATCTTTTATGTTCTTCAACTTTTCTGTCTCTGCTGTTACCATCCTGTTCCAAGCCAACATGATCCTTTTCTGCATATTTTTCTGTTTCTAATTTTTTAAAGATGGAAGTCAAACCATCTGATCTCCTTGCTTAAAACCATTCACTGGATTTCCTTTATACTTGGAATAGAAGCCTAAACCCTTAAGTATTTGATCTGGTCAACTCCTGACATCCATAGTAGTACTCTTTTCATTTTCTTTACATACCAGGTTCTTTCCTCTCTTAGGGTTTTGCATGTGCTTCATTCTCCCTGCCCTCCCTCCCCATCCATTCTTTGCTTGGATGCTTCTTTTGCTTCCAGCTTTAGTTTGTCACTTTATTTAAATAGTATAATTTCCTGCCTTAACCTGTTATTAACGAGATTTGCAAAAAATAACAATGCTGTTCTTATCTTTTAATTCTCTTCTGAAAGTTATTTTTTGATTTTTAAAAAATATTTATTTTTTAGTTGTAGTTGGACACAATATCTTTATTTTGTTTCTTTTTATGTGATGCCGAGGATCAAACCCAGGGCCTCACATGTGCTAGATGAGTGCTCTACCACTGAGCCACAATCCCAGCCCTGAAAGTCATTTTTTTATACCTTTATTTATTTATTTATTTTTATGTGGTGCTGAGGATTGAATCCAGTGCTTCACACATGCAAGGCAGGCTTTCTACCACTGAGCTACAACCCTAGCCCTGAAAGTTATTTATTAAACAAAATGTTTTATGTTAAATAATGGGTTTACTGTTGTTTTAGAATTAATAAATATGGTTAAAATTTCTCAGCTTTAATTTTAGCTATGGTAATGTGTAATGTAATATGTAATGACAAATTTTTTAACCCACATAAACCAGAGATCTTTGGAGATCTGTTGCATATTTTTAATTTTAGTTTTTATTATGGTAAGATATTCATAACACAATTTACAATTTAACTACTTTTAGGTATACATAAATAAATTTACAATGTTGTACAACAATATTTGCAGAAGTAGGTTTTGAGAATGAGAAGAAAATTCCAGATGTTTCATATTAATGGAATTATACAATATTTGCCTTTTGTGTCTCTAATTTCACTTAGTTTGTTTTTAAAATCCATCTGTGTTGTATCACATATCAAAAGTCCATTCCTTATTAGAGTTGAATAATATTCCATTAAATGTATAGGATACATTTTGTTTATTCGTTTATCTCTTCTTTACTCTTAGTTACAATACAAGAGCAATTTAAATGTATTGATAACGTAAATAGCAAATAATTAAGTAGTAAATCATGTGGTTTAGAATCTACATATTTCACCATAGATTTTTTTATAATCCAGAGGAGAAAGTCAACCTGGTATTTGAAATCCTGAGTCATTATTTGAGGTTACCATTAGTCATTTAATTCTTGTTTTCTCCATGATATGGACAGTATTGGCTTTATCAAGATTAATTTCATTGAAAGCGTAAATTAGTTTATTTGTTGTTGTTGTTTGGTGCTAAGGAATGAATCCAGGGATGAGCCACGTCCAGACAAGGTCTCACTAAGTTGCTGAGAGGCTACCTTGAACTTGTGATCCTCCTGTCTCAGTCTCCAGAGTAGCTGGGATTACAGGCATGTGCCATCACACCTGGCAAGCTTTGTTGTTTTTTTTTTTTTAAACTGTTAACAATTACCTACATATAATAATATTAAATTATAATTTATGTTTTACTTTATTGCTACTTCAGTCTGGCTGTCTATAATTTTACCTTATTATTTTTTATTGATCTAGAATAGTGCTGATGTATATAGTAAGTGCTTGATAGATATTAAATCAGTGAGTGTTCTCAGCTACACAGTTATAAACACCCTTGTAGTATTTTTGTAGATCATATCATTAAAGTCATCCCTTATTTATAGATTTTACTAGTTTTTTGTAAGACACTCTTATTTTCAAGTTCTTAAATTTTATTTAACTTTCTTCCTCTATTATTAACAAAGATTAGGCTTTGTTTTTGAAAGTTTTAACACTGAAAATTTTTCAATATAATCATGCTATTCTTTAACCTGTAGTAAGCTATAGAGCCAAAAATGTTAGTGGAGGCAGTTATTTCCTGGCTTTGGGCTGTGAATCAGATAGTAACTATTTCTTTGGTTTTGAAATTGTGGTTTCTTGAGCTAACTTGAGTGATGTAAAAGATGAGTCTTGTTAGGCGTTTCTTCTTTTAAAAATGTATTTAGTGTTTTATTATAAACAGATTTTCTCCAAGGAAACATTTCTCTGCAGTCTTACCTCATCACCCTTCGAAATGAAAACCTTCCTATATGAACTGATAACTTAGTTTATTACGAAGCTGTATGTTACTCACATGTGTGATGAAAATAGCCTTGTGTTTTTATTTTATACACACACACACATTTCTGCATTTAATATTCCCAGAACTTTCAGAAGTAACTCGATTCTGACTTAGTCTTGTGCTGATTACAAGACATTTTCCTTTAGGCTATCCTCCACCCATTTTGGGAGTTGTGAGTGTTTATCCTCTTATTGGTTAACTCTGGCCACTGAGTACATGAGTAAATGTCACATGCATGTGGTGTTGCCTGTCAGAGTGGAATTCTAAGACTTCCTCTTTACATAGAGCAGTTTAACTTTGTGCTTCTGACCAGCGGCATGGTCTTGGGGACAGTTCTGCTTCCACCTAATAGTTATGGCAGAGATCAGAACACATCACTTTGCTGCCTGTGCAGTGAGGCCTCAGGATCTGCTGTACGCAACTTGACAGGTATGGGTCAGAGTTGGTAGTTGGAGAAAGGGTGGATAACCACAAGAGTCAAGTGTGGAGATATTAAAAAATTAATCTTACCTGCTATTGTTATCATCCGCATGTTTTGTCAGTAAAGGTTTATGTTGCTTTTTTTCTTAGTATTTCATAGTGTAATGTTTATTGAATATTGAGTAGTTAGCAAATGAAAGAATATATAAATGATATTTTATGATACAAAGATGTATATATGTCTTGATGTGAAGAACTTAAGCTGTGTTAAAAACTGTTGAATACTTTATCCAACTTAGTTTTTAAAAGAGATTAAAATTCTTAGCTTGTAGAGAATACAGTCAGGTGAAATAGAATTCTGTGAAGAGAAAGGTTTTTAAAATACTTGAAACTACCTAAACTGAAAAATTTGTATTTTAATTTTTCCAGTTACTACCTGACAAATTTCTAATAAAACTGATAAAGAGTTATTGAATAACTAATTGTTGGAAGTGTTTTTATAAAATTAAGCATTAAGTTTCAGATTACTGGGGCTGGAGTTGTAGCTCAGTGGTAGGAGTGCTTGCCTGGCACATGTGAGGCACTGGGTTTGATCCTCAGCATCACATAAAAATAAATAAAAATAAAACAAAGGTATAAAAAAGTTTCGGATTTCTCTGTGAGTTTATTATTCTAGGTTTTAACTTGTTTAATCATGGTAATTTATTTTGAACAAGCTGTTATTGCTGTTTTGCTTTATTTTTGTTGTATATTGCACATTTATCAATAGAAAAAAGTTAATAGGGCTGGGGTTGAGGCTCAGTGGCAGAACACTTGGCACTGGGTTCGATCCTCAGCACCACATAAAAACAAACAAAATAAAGATAGTGTGTCCATCTACAACTAAAATAAAATTTAAAAAAAAAAAATTAACAAAGCCCAGTGCAGTGGCACATACCTATAGCCCAGTGACTTGGGAGGCTGAGACAAGAGGACTAGAAGTTTGAGGCCAGTCTGGGCAGTTTATTGAAACCCTGTCTCACAAAAGAAAAAATTAAAAGGGCTGGGGATGTAACTCAGTTCTAGAGAGCCTCTGGGTTCAGTCCCAACATCCTAGTACTGAAGGAAAAAACAAGGAGCGTAGGGGATGGAGAAAGAAAGAAGTAACAAAATTCGTTTTTTAAAATTGTCATAAAATAGTTCTGCCACTTGGTTCCTTTACATACATAAATAAAATTCAGTTTTCTAATGTTTTGTCTTAAGTCCATCATCTACCTCTATAGCAGTAATTAACTAGAAGATTAGTTCAGTTGCTATCTAACTTAGTATATAGCAGTCACTTCACATTGTTCAAAAATGAAACTTCGCAGCCTACACATCTCCATTGAGGCTTGCGCAGTACATCTGAATCATCCAGACATGTCTATCTTAACTGATGAGGAAAGTGCCACAGACTAGGCCCACTGACTTTACTTGCTTTGCCCACAGGCTTTTGTTTCATTTTGGTTTTGCATTAACCCTTAGCTGATTCTTCTCCATTTCTTTCTTTTAACACTGTGATTCAATACATGTTCATTCTCGTCCCCAGAAAAATGTTGAATTTCTTTTCTTTAAAAAAGTTATCTTTTGTTTGGTACCAGTAAGTAGGATGGGATTTCAGTGGGATATCCTGTGTAGACTGGTTTGCAGGAAATTGACCCTCAGTTCTATGAGAACAGAAGAGTGAGTGGGAAGAAAGAAGAAAAGAAGGAAGGAAGATCTTTTGACTCAGCCAGAAGGACCGTAAAATCAGAGATGGGAAGAGGGGGTGGTAGGAAATGAAAAGGTTTGTTTTCCAAATGGTGGTTCTTTTAGTATTTTGCCTAAAAAAAAATTATTTTTTATCCTGTGTTTATTGATTTGTATATTTAAGAAATATGTAGTATTGTTTGACCTTTAGATATTTAAAAATTTATGTTACATTGTGTTGTGGGTCTTATCCTGTTTTCTCCTTTTGTCAGATAACTTCTTCTTTTGTTTTTTTTTTTTTTAGTACTAGTAATTAAACCCAGGAACACTTCACCTCTGAGCTACATCTTTAGTCTTTTTTCTTTTTAGGAGACAGGGTCTTGCTAAATTGCTGAATCTGGCCTTGGACTTGAAATCCTCCTGCCTCAGTTTCCTGATTATAGACATGTGCCCCTGCACCTGGCTAAATAACATGGTTTTAAAGAAGCTAACTTTGCCTTTAAAAATCTTCCCTTGGCCTTGGAGTTCCTTCCCCGATAGATGAGTCACATGTTATGAACATGTCCTTGCACATTGACAGTCATCAGTACAGAATTCTTACTCATCCATTTTAAATGCTTATTTAATTTAAAGTCTGAAACCTTGCCTGACTCCAGAGTTTTGTTTTATATTTTGTCCTCTTATAGCATCCTCTGAGTATGGCAGTCTACATGATTTATTCTTTTTTGAAACCTCTTATATACAGGCACTGTTTGGCATTCACTGTTCAGTGAACAAAACAGAAAATTCCTGTCCTCATGAAACTTGTATTCTAGTAGGGGAAGTTAGATGATATGCATAAATATAGTAATTAATAAGTAAATTATATGTTTGGTAGTAAGAGCTGTGGAGAAAAATATATCAAGAAAGGAAATGTGGAAGATCTGGAAGTGTTGTTAGGAATAGTTGCACTTTAAAATAGAGTAATCAGAAAATGCCATACTGGAAAGGGTAATATTTGAGTAAAATGTCATGGGGACAAGTGTTTAGACAGAAGGAAAACCAGCACAAAGATCCCGAAGCAGGAGTGTGTCTGCCATGTTTAAATAATAGCAGGGAGGCCAGTGGTCAGAATGATATAAACTAAGGGGAGAGTAGTTAAGAGATGAACTGCACAAGACACAGAGTGAAGGACCTCATAGTCTCTTTAAGGATTTTGGTTTTTACTCTAAAATGGGGAGCCATTGAAAGAGTTTTAAACAGTATGGTTTATGCATTAAGAGAGAACTGGTGTGTTGACAAACAATAGGAAGACAATATAGAAGCATGGAAATCAGTAGCTTCATGAAATAATCTAGGTGATAGATGATTATTGTAACAGGATGGTGGTAGTGGAGAGGGTGAGTGAGAGATGGATAGACTGGATATTTCTGAAGGGAGTGCCAATAGAAGTTCTGAGTGAATTGGATGTGGTATGTGTGAGCAAGAAAGAAGTCATGAATGATTACAACGTTTTTGGCCTTAGCACCTGAAAAGATGAAATTATCATCAGCTGAGATGGGAATTCTGTAGGAGAAACAGATTTGTGGTGGTGGTGGGGAGAATAGAGAGTAGTTTTGTATACTAAGTTGAACAGTGTTATTAGAGATTTCTAGTCTTATTCTGAAATCCAGCACAATATCTAGCATATAGTAAATGTTCACACAAGTTACTAGTTTTGTAAATCTTAAAACTTTTTTTGGGTGGGGGGTGAGGTGCAAGGGTTGGCCTAGGCAAGTGCTGTACTACTGAGCTACATCCCCAGCCCTAATCTTAAACTTTAATATGCTGGGTTTCACAAAGTTAGGTATAAATGTACAGCATTTGCTGTTTTTGTCCTAATAGGATTTAAGTTGGCTACAATGTCTGCTTAATACTACAGTATCTTTAACCTTGTCATTGATGATAGAAAAGTTCTCCAGGGGTGAGATTTTTATATAATTTCAAACAGGCAGCTTCTATCTAAAAAGAATGAAGTGTATTTGAAACTGTACTTTGATAATTATTAGACAATAATAATTACAAAACATTGTAATGTGTTATCACATTATTTCTGACAAAATCATTTATCAGTATGGATCTTGGGGTATTTAGTGTGGCCCTAATAAATTGATAAAAGTGAATATTTACTATGTTTTTTTTTTTGGACAATGCTTTTGATTTTAATGAAGGACTGGCATTTGTGATCCAGTGGAACGTCTGCTAGAGCAAGTAATTTTTTCATTAAAATAAAAATATATAGTACATGTGACCACTTCAAAGAATGTTTCTTATGATATGTTGTTGTTTATTTGGTAATCCTAAATTAGTTATCTTATATATAATTTAACTGTTTCATTCATTGTAACTTTGTTTAAACAGGGAGCAAGTATTTGCTTTAAATTGACTTTTTGGGACACCTGAACATACCTTTTAAGTCTATCATAATACTTTTCTTTTTTTTTTTTTAAAGAGAGTGAGAGACAGGGAGAGAGAATTTTTTTTAATATTTATTCTTTAGTTTTCGGCGGACACAACATCTTTGTGGCTGCACGCAACCCAGGCGAGCGCGCTACCTCTTGAGCCACATCCCCAGCCCATATCATAATACTTTTAATACAAAACAAAATTGAACTCTAGAAATTCAGACATTTCTTTCTTTTCAGAGAAGAAATGAATGTGATGAAGTGAAACTATGCCACTCTTTAGATAATTACAGATCCGGCCTGCAGTAGGAATTTCTGTCAATATCATGTAGATAGTTATGAAACATTGTTTAGTGTGATTTTAAGATTAAAATTCATTTCTTTCCTGTCATATATTTTTGTGTAAGTTAGCAATTCATTCAGCTAATAGTTACTGAATACATATTATGAAAACTAGACAGGAAGAAGATTCAGTTCTTATCCTTAAGGAGTCTCCATTGTAAAGTGTGGGAAATAGACATAGATGGAGGTGATTGATGGGACAGATGTCAGGTTTTGAAAGCATAGAGAGGTGTGTGGTTTCCTAGGGAAAGTTATAGATTTCTAGGGGAGCTAACTAAGTGTGGTAAGATGAGAAGTCAGCTAGTCAGAAGAAAGTAGAATGAGAACCCATTCTAGGTATACAGGACTCAACAAAGACCAAGAGGTGGGAAGTAGAGTGGCATATGTTAAATGTGAGGTGTGGAGTGGGGAGAGACAAAGTTGGAGAAGTAGATCTCAACCATCTACTAATTGTGAAAGGTCTCAAAGGCCATGCATGATAAGGAGACTTCAGCTTGATGGTGAACTCTTGAAGTGGCTTAAGAAGAGTGATGTGGTCAAATTTTTGTCTTAACTAGATCACTTTGCCAGCTGTGTGGAGGATGGATTTGAGGGAGACAAGACTGGAGGCAATAGTCCAGGTGAGATGTTGGGGATCTGAAACGAGGTCTTGGAAGTAGAGATGGAAAGAAGAATGGATTTGAAACAAAATAAAACCACAGATTTAAAGGTTTTTCCCTTCAAATATGTTAAAAAATAATTTTAAATTAAAAGTCAGGAGAGACTTAATACAAAAATGTTGTTCTATGACAGACAATTGGATGGTTTGCAGACAGCCACTAAAATCAGTCCCAGAAATCTAGAAAATTTTGGAAGAACAATTATTTTTTGCATAGCCAATCTGGGCTTTGTGAGACAGGTGATCTTTCAGACAATATAGGTATCACCTGTCTATGTGTATGAATAAATTAGGAACTATAAAGCCTTGAGGAAGAAACCGGTCTTACTAGGCTTCAACCACTGCACATGTTAGAAACTCAATAAATATTCACTGATTAAATTATCAATATTTTTCAGATATATGCTCAGGAAAAGAAATTAGAGGGTTTCTTAAGTCATTAAAACTATGAACAGTTACAAACTGTTCTTACCTAAAAAGATTGCTTGAAATGTCAAGAATACTTTGTATTGAACCAAAACATGTTTCTTTCATTTTGCAGAAATTTGGGAATATTTTGCTGAAAGCATTATTTCTGTAATTTTTATACATAATGGAAGGTCTGGATTTATTCAATACTTCTATATTTCTGAAATATTTCTTTTTCCTATAGTTTGATTTCTTTGGAAAGAGTAATGGAAGAAGTGTAGTTTAGAATTTATAAAACATAACTATTCTTTATTTAAAGCCATCACCACAACAAAATATGCTGTGTGTTTTTTAAAGGTAGGAGCCTCTTCTTTCTGAGCTTTCTTTTTTACATTTTAAGAAAACTATGCCATATCTGATTTTGGTGCATGCATATAAATCAGAGCTAAACTCTCATTTTGTGGTCCTTTCTCTATCTTGTTACCATTTCAAGAAGTAATTCTATGTCTAATGCTCAGAAGACACAGTGCCTAATTGCTCATCTTCATGACTCCATTAATTGTACAGTTCTGTCTCTCTTTGGAGTTGTCAGTATAGGCCAGCAAGTGAAATAATGTGTATGTACTGAATTCAAATGAATTTTCAGCTGTTGGAACTCACTGTGAATTCTTTTCCCTTTTTGTGTCTTTCAGAAGCTTTGCACCGCCCTTATGGTTGTGATGTTGAATCCCAGGCACTGAACGAAGCTATCAGGTGGAGTTCCAAGGAGAACTTGCTTGGAGCCACTGAGAGTGACCCTAATCTCTTTGTTGCACTTTATGATTTTGTAGCGAGTGGTGATAACACACTCAGCATCACTAAAGGTGAGGCTTCTATATAACATCCAGTTTCTATTAGTGGTTAAGAAATAAAGGAGACTGTCTGGCTTCTGCCACTGACTATAATTAGTTTGCTGATTTGGGCCCAGATACTTTTGGTTTGTTCCTTTTTTTAGCTGTGTAAGAGTTCTGCCCTGTAAAGTGTAACTCTATTTTTTAGGGTTTATTAAGGATAAAACCGAATTAAAGCACCTTAGGAATTCTCAGAAATCTGTACTGTATATGTTATGTACGTAATATATAAGTATACATATATGTATGTGCACATATATATTAAAATCTAAGTTTGTTCTTGCCTCTTGAATCTATAAAGGCTCCCACTGGGGAAAATGTATTTCAGGATAATTTTTAACTAAATAAAATTGGAACTTAAATGATTATTTGTCAAACAGATGCCTCTTCGTTACAAGTTTCAGAATGGAGAATTAAATGGGAGTGGTCATTCCAAGAAGGCAGCCTGTCCCCACTCAAGGAAGGTCACCCATCTGTAAGGAAGGCAGCCCTTCCCCATTTGAGGAATGCTACCCTTATATTTCTTGTCAGTATTTTTCAAGATAGCGCAGTCACCAAGGGAACATCGATATAGAAAGTCTCGGATACCAGTTAGAGCAACCGCTAGTCTACTGCTTATGTAAAAATTTTAAAGACATTAATTCTTAACATCTAATCCCATTCATCAGAAGCAGAAATCCTTAAAACTGAGTTTCTCAAACTGAGGTATAGGTATGTCCCAGAGTGGGTATGATTGTATATTAGCACATTTCAGGAATTTTCAGAGGCACAGTAAATGTAAAAGTGCATTCTTTCCTGGCATCAACTTAAAAGATTTTGGGTAGTTTTAGGAGCAGGTTGGTGACAATATGGATATGTGTGTGGAGGTTGTATTTATGTGTTGAAGGAAAATATTACATAAAGTTTGGGGATAAAATAAAGGACGTCAAAGAAATATTCTGCTGTCCAATAGTCTCTTGGGCAACATTGCACTCTATTTTACCTTTTCCAGTACTTCAGTGGAGAAATTTGCAAAGCAGTGACTTAATACATTCTTTCCTTCGTATAATTTTCTTGTCAGTATTTTCCAAGATAGCGCAGTCACCAAGGGAACATCGATATAGAAAGTCTTCATTTCTCATTTACGAGTTAGAGAAGCTGCTAGTCTACTGCTTAAGGACTAGGATTCCCTTTATCTATGGCCAAGAGTAGTTTCTCTTAAAATCCATGAAATGTCAGATTTTTCTTATCTTTCTTTCCCTTGTATTTTGGTATTGGGGATTAAACCCAGGGGTGCTCTGCCACTGAGCTACATCCCCAGTCCTTTTTATTTTTTATTTTGAGGCATGGTATTGCTAAGTTGCCCAGGCTGCCCTGCAATTTGGGATCCTCTGCTTCAGCCTCCCATGTAGATGGGATTACAGGTGTGTGCCTGGCTAGTTCCTTCTTCTTTGAAGGTGATACTTTGCTTACAGTAAAAAGAAGAATTCTGCTGAACTCAGTGCCTGCCTATAGCCCAGCTACTCAGTGACACTGAGATAAGATGATCATTTGAGCCCCAGACCTTGAGACTAGCCCAAGCAACAGGCAAGACTCTGTCTCAAGAAAGGAAAGAAAAGAAAGTTCTTTTTAGAATTTCTCTGCCAATAGGCCCAGTTTTTATGGTAGTCAAAATTTCTAGAGTTGAAAATTCTCCTAACTGCCAAAAAGAAAAAAACCAAACAAACCTGTCATGTTTGTATCCTAATTATGATGGTCTGTAATTACCAGTTCTATTTAAGGAAGGGGCAATATGAAAATACACAAAACTTGGTCTTCTAGTTCTGTGGACTAATATAGAAAAGCAGCAGGGCAACAAGTTTTCCTATAAGTACAGAAATATAGTTGGCTAGTATTCATCTGTGCACTCGTGCATGTCCACTGCCACAAAAGTCACACTTTTGTCTGTGTACATTGTATGTATATTATATACCCATGCGTGTGTATACATGTGCTTTTGTGTTTTTCTTCCCATATAGGTGTTTCAGGTAAGATAGTAGGGGCTACAAAGTTATGCTATGGTAAAAGTTTCTGGAGGTCACTGGGAAAAGATAGATGGCTACCAGAGTAATTATTTTGAATTTTTCTTCAATAGCCTTTGACTGGAAACTTCTGGGCCATGAGACTGATTTGGCACCCTTCTGATTTTTTTTTTTTTTTAAAGAGAGAGAGAGAGAGAGAATTTTAATATTTATTTTTTAGTTATCGGCGGATACAACATCTTTGTTTTTTTGTATGTGGTGCTGAGGATCGAACCCGGGCCGCACGCATGCCAGGCGAGCGCGCTACCGCTTGAGCCACATCCCCAGCCCCCCCTTCTGATTTTTGACCCTGAGAAAGTAGGAGTGAACTCTGTATAGAAAGCCTTGCATCTGTTAGAGAAAAGAGTCTAAGGCACTACAAGAATTCATTAGATTAACTTTTATGCATTACTAAATACCTGTACATAAATAGAGTTATATATTAGTAATACTTATACATTACCTAAATAATAATGGTATCTTTTTTACCTTCCCTGTTTTGCCAAAGACACTTCTAATCTATACCTGAAAATATAGGGACAAAATGTACATTAAAATCTTAAGTTTATAATGGTGTATTAGAATTGTAATGCAAAAATTAAAAAAAATCTAAGTTTTATGTTACAACTTTACTAGAGAAATCAAGAACATGGAAATAGGTGGCAAAGATTCACTAAGTGACTTAGAGTTTGGGTTCCATCTTCAAAGTCATCTTCCTTTTCCATACACTAATTTTAGAGGAAAAGATAGGGGATTCATTCTTTGTGGAGAGTAGGAGGGAAACCGTAGCTATATTGGGAAAGTGTACCATCCTGGAAGTAGCTGTGCTTTGGGAGTCCTCTCTGCCTTCTCCTGCTCTCCTAGTTTTCTTAGAGAAAACATTGCTGAAAACTCTTTGTTCTTGTGGTTTTTTTTTTGTTGTTTGTTTGTTTTGTTTATATCCGTAGTTTTGTTGCCTTGGTGCAAAATGATATTTAGAAGCAACTTGGTATTTCACATCTTACCTCTAATTCTTGATTATCATTATCATAGTAAGCTATTTTGAGGGAAAGTGAATTTTATTTTTCTTGCACTATCATTTTCTAGCCAGTTGAGTAACTGTTCTGTCTTTTTTGTTTCTTAGCACCATAGAGGTCCTTGGGAATATTTTTAAGGGGTTATATAAACTTTTAAAATTTTGTAATAAATGCCAGAAAATAATTTCTGTTCTTATAGTTCAAGCTACAAATCAGAGATCAATCAGGATATGGCCAGCTTTTGTTATTTACAAAACATCTTGCCATCAAAGTTCTTATTTTCTTTTTAAGTGAGTTTCAAGTTTGACAATACACTGCATTGGTTTGAAATAAAGTCTTCTCTTTTCTTTTGTTCTGTGATTACTTCACGGTTAGGTGAAAAGCTACGAGTTCTTGGTTATAACCAGAATGGCGAGTGGAGTGAAGTTCGTTCTAAGAATGGACAGGGTTGGGTGCCAAGCAACTATATCACCCCAGTAAATAGCCTGGAAAAACATTCCTGGTACCATGGGCCTGTATCACGCAGTGCAGCCGAGTATCTACTCAGCAGTCTAATCAATGGCAGTTTCCTGGTGCGAGAAAGTGAGAGCAGCCCTGGGCAGCTGTCCATCTCGCTCAGGTATGAGGGGCGTGTGTATCACTACAGGATCAATACCACCACAGATGGCAAGGTAAGACTTGCCAGTAACCACTGCTACTTGTGGACTGGCTGCTCTGTACAAAGAGTACTCTCACTGACTAAAGTGGAATATAGTTTTTTTTTTTGTCTCACATGAAATAAAATATTTGCTGAATTTGTAAGTTTTAAGATATTTGGCATGTTAGAGCTTGCTCTTTTCAAAACAATAAAGTAATATAAAGTGAAAAGAGGACTATATTAATAGTTTAAAGATGAGTTACATGCGAAGGTAAAGAATGAAGGGAACTGCTATCTAAGCTGTTCTAATCATCAACACAAAAATATACACCCAGTATATTGACAAAGAATTTATATTAACCCTGTTTCATGGAAAATAAAAATGATCTCTAGAAAGTTCATGGAGTATGAGTTAAGACTTTTGAGACTGGCGTTGATCATTAAATGTATGTTTGTATGTTGATATAAATAGATCATTTTAGTCATTTAGTAGTTTTTATGTTGGGAAGATCACAAATTAGAATGAACTTATTTATTTATTTGTATTTGGTGGGGGGGTACTGGGAATTGAACCCAGAGGCTTTAACCATGAGCCACCCTCCCAAGCCCTTTTTTTTTTTTTTTTTTTTTTTTTAATCTTTTGAGACCGGTCTCACTAAGTTACTTAGGGCCTTGCTAAGTTACTAAGGCTGGCTTTGAACCAGGGACAGTTGCTGGGATTACAGGTCTGCACCACCATGTCTGGCCAGAATGAATGTATTTAGAATGGAATTATTATATTTTATAAATTAGGAAGTCTGAGAGCTTGTGTCAGTTCTTCTGTTGAAAATTTAGATCAAACCCTTTTTTCCATTTTTTTCCCTGTGTGATATGCATAACAGGGAAAAAGCATGGGCTTTAGACCAAGCATTCCTGTTTGCCTGTAATTTCAGATACTTGGGAGACTGAAGTAGACACAAGTTCAAGGCCAGCCTTGTCAACTTAGTGAGACCTTGTCTCAAAATAAAAAATAAGGGGCTGAGGATGTGGCTCAAGCGGTAGCGTGCTCGCCTGGCATGCGTGCAGCCTGGGTTCAATCCTCAGCACCACATACAAAGAAAGATGTTGTATCTGCCGAAAATTAAAAAATAAATATTAAAAAATTCTTATTCTTTCTCTCTCTCTCTCTCTCTTTAAAAAAATTAAATAAAAATAAACAAAGGGCTGGGATTGTAGCTCAATGGTAGTGTTCCCTGAGAGGGAAAAATGTCCCACATTATAGGGTTGTTGTAAAGATTAAATAAAATAATTTATGTAAAATATAATAGCTGGTACAAAATAAGAAATAAATAAATTACTAGTTCGCTTTCTCTTTTTGCCCCACCATACAGACATAGTATGTTGTATCATGGCCCAAGCAAATAGAATCAGTTGTCTAACAACAGTAGAATGGATTAACAAATTGTGGTGCGTTCATAAAATGAAATGTTTTTTAACAACAAAAATGAACATAAAGTTCTATACCCAACACCATGTGGAAATCTATGGCTTACAGCTGCCTGCTTTTATAAGTAAAATTTTACTGAAATGCAGCCACATCCATTTATATATGTATTCATACATGTATTCATCTGTAGCTACTTTGTTACTAGGCAGAGCTGAATAGTTGTGTCAAGAGACCCTATGGCCAAAAGCCTAAAATATTTATTTTTTACCTCTTTACAGAAAAGTTCGCTGGCCCCTGCTACAAAAAGTCTCATACACATGAAGCTGATTGAAAGGGATTAGTGATTGGCTGGGGGTTGGGATGTGGGGAAAGTGGGAATAATTACTGATAGGCCTTGAACAGGGGGTGATTAAAAATATTCTGGGGTTGTGAAGGTTGGGCAGTTTTAAAATACACTAAAAACTACTGGATTATATACTTTAAAATGGTGAATTTTATGCTATCTTACAACATAAACGTTGAATGAAAGAAAGCAGACACCAGACATACTGTATATTCATTTGTATACTGTTCAGTCAAAGCTATCTAAGATGTTTGAAGTCAGCTAGTGGTTACCTTTGCAGGACTAAGTAGGTAGAGGGAGGATTCAGGAATGCTTATGATGTTAAAATTTTTGGTGTGGGTGATATTTTCATGAATGAGTTTATTTTATAAAAATCACCGATTCTCTATTTTTGATATACTTTTCTGTATGTAATCAAGTAAAAGTTTCTTTTTAAAAAGTAAGCTCCCATGGTAGATAAAGCCAAAGGCTGCATTACTTTACATTTCTTATTGCTCATCACAAATAAACAACTGTTTTGTTAATAACCCTGAAACCCAAATGTAGCATGTGTGAGCTTTCTTGTGCACTCTCTCTCTCTCTCTCTCTCTCCCTTTCTCTTTTTTAAAACAGCTTAGGCATTCAAGAAAACACATTGTAGCCTGTATTCCCATTGGCTCAGGAGGTTGGGTCAGGCGGATCACAAGTTCAAGGCCAGCCTCAGAAGTTAGCAGGGTCCCTTAGGGGACCATTAGTAATTATTCCCACTTTCCCCCCATTTAGTGAGACTCTGTCTCAACATAAAAAATAAATGGCTGGGGATGTAGCTCATTGGGGGCCTCGGGTTCAACCTCCAATACCAAACCAAACAAAACAAAACAAAAAACCCTTACATGTTGTAATTAAAAATGATTAAGATAATTAAATAAGAATCATAATGCCTTCCTCACCCCCCTCCAATCTAAATCAGTGGTTATCAATTTATATTCTCTGTAAGATTTGGGGGTAATATTTCATTAACTTTGACAGGAGACCAACCCCTGCTTATCTACTTTAATCAGAACATCTCTCTTTTTACCCACCTTATATATTTGGATTCTATAACATTATTGTTTAGAAAGACCAGTGAGCTTGATGATCCAGAGAGACATGTTGGAACTCTCTTTCAACTTTAAAAATAGGGGTTGATTTAAACATTAAACTGAAGTTCTGTTGTTGCCCCTGGCCATCAGCATTTAATGCAGTTTACCTCCATTAAGATGTAAGGGGGGTGCCTGGGATTATGGCTCAGTGGTAGAGTGCTTGCCTACCATGGTGAGGCACTTCACTGGCTTTGATCCTCGGCACCACATAAAAATGAATTTAAATAAAAGTGTTGTGTCCATCTACAACTAATATATATATCTTCCATCTTCATATCTTAAGGCTTTTTAAAAAATCCTAATGTCTTTCAAGTTGTTTATTTCTTCTTTTTCACCAGGTGTATGTGACTGCTGAGAGCCGCTTTAGCACTTTGGCAGAGCTTGTTCACCATCATTCCACAGTGGCTGATGGGCTGGTGACAACATTACACTACCCAGCACCCAAGTGTAATAAGCCAACAGTCTATGGTGTATCCCCCATCCATGACAAATGGGAAATGGAACGAACAGATATTACCATGAAGCACAAACTTGGGGGCGGTCAGTATGGAGAGGTTTATGTTGGTGTCTGGAAAAAATATAGCCTTACAGTTGCTGTGAAAACACTGAAGGTGGGTTGCTGAGAATTACAGTTTTCAGGCATCTTTTTGCCTGTGTGCTGAATCACTTGGAAGTACCAGTGTGCTCTTTTTTAACTTTGGAACACTTTCCACCCACTGGTGCCAAACACATCAGCAAATCGTGATGATTAACCCTAGTGCCATTGCTGATAACACAGGGCAGATTATTCACTGCAATGCAGTGAAACCCACATGTGGGAAAGGTTTGTTTCTGGAGAATGTTGATGTAGATCTTGGTGGGAGTTGAAAAGCAAATTATAAGTTACAAAAACAAAACAAGCTGTTTTGCTTCCTGTCAAAGACCCCTACTGGACAGAATTCTTCATGCGTTGTCTATGAATAATGGGTCTTTCTTATTCTGTTCTATATCTCCCTGCCTCTTGCTCCTCCCATCTCCATGCAATTACATAGTTTTTTCTTGTTCTTAAATTTGCAGAAATCTTTTTCCTGATACTACTCTGTCTTGTTTAAGCATCCCAGGATCAGATTACAGGGTCATCACTCATGTAATTTACTGATCTTATCCCAGAATCTCAGTGACTCTGGGAAATCACTCATACAGGTTACTTTCCAACAATGAGTAGTCATCAGTTCTGTTTATTAAGCATATTTTGAGTGTGAGACAATATGTGAGGCTTGGCAAATATGCATTGCTCCTTAAATGTGTGATTTAATTAGAAGATAAACAGGTAAACAGCTGATTGCTCTTATCTTTTCATTGAAATTCTAAGGTATCTAAAGAAGTAAAGAATTTCTAATCTAAGTCTCCTGTGTTTTAATTGATGTAGGATGTGCTATTGAATTTTGCTCACCCTCCTAATTTTTATTCCAGTTTCTAATATTGGATAAATTCAGGAACTTCTGTTGAACATATTAAGTTGTAAGGAAAAAAATATTTTGGTTGTAATAAAATTTCTTAAAGTGAAATGCTAAAATATTCAAGGGACACTCCCTTTTACTTTTAAAACTAAAGCCATAGAATTATTAGTTGATTCAAATGATTAAGATAAGGATCTATCTCTTTGTTTTTTTTCTATCTTACCTTCCCTGTTTTCCAGGAAGATACCATGGAGGTTGAAGAATTCCTAAAAGAAGCTGCAGTGATGAAGGAAATCAAGCATCCTAATCTGGTGCAACTATTAGGTGAATAAACCTGAACCATTAGTTTTCATAAAGATGCTTGCCCCCAGCCCCTGTTGTCTTCTAATCATTCTTTGGAATCATTGTGATAAAAACTCCCAATGAGAATCCATTGCAGAAAATGGTTTTCATGGCCTAGGGGTATGGCTCAGTAGTAGAGTACTTGCTTGGCATGCATTTGGCCCTAGGTTCAAACTCCAGCACACCCCCCCCCCCCAAAAAAAAAAGTTATTTTGAACAGTAGGGGTTGGGTTGAAAACAAACAACAAAAAAACAGGGCAGGGCTGGGATATAGCTGACAATAGAGTGCTTGCGTAGCACATATGAGGCCCTGGATTAAAGACCCAGCAGTACCAAAAATAAAAAAAAATAAAAAAAACAGTGGCCTAGGTTCATTTCTGTGTAGGAAACTGCCAAGCATAAATGATGGCTGCCTCATTCAAAATTCAGAAGCATTCAAAATGGTACTAAGTCAAAAACTTATCACAATAATTTCACAAAATAAGGAAATTTTTACAGTAAAAAAAGAAACAGATTAGAAAATTGTTACCACACCCATCACTTTACCCAAGCAGGATATGCTATACTGTGATAGATTGATTTCACCCATTCAGATCACAGAGAAGCTTTTGACTAAACCCTTATTTTCTCTCTATAAAGTTGGGCCAGTTTCTGTGGATGTTCAAATAGAATCAAACTCTCTGAAAGAAAATAATTTCTTGTTGGCTCTTCATGAGGAATCTGCTATGTGAAAATTCTTGACCATGGAAACAATTAAAATCTTTTTACAAACTATTATTACTTCTAGATAAGCATTATTAGAATGTAGTTGAGTGGGAGAAGCATAGGCATGTTCAGAACTCTAGAAAATGTGGTCATCTTTTCCCATTGCGGAATTAACACAAGTACCTCTTTTACACAAAGGCAAATGAGTTTCCAGAGAATAATATAAATGGAAGCAAAGACTTCCTTATCAACCAACTTCTTAATTTTTGCTATGTTAATTTCACAGAACGTGGTAAAAATTATCCAAACCAGACAAAGAATTGTTGAAATATTCTTGGCCATAATGACTTGGATTATTGGAATGTATACTAATAAAACAACCTCTGTCTTCATCTATCAGGTGTGTGTACTTTGGAGCCACCATTTTATATTGTGACTGAATACATGCCATATGGAAATCTGCTTGATTATCTCAGAGAATGCAACCGAGAGGAGGTGACTGCAGTTGTACTGCTTTACATGGCCACTCAGATCTCTTCTGCAATGGAGTATTTAGAGAAGAAGAATTTTATCCATAGGTGTGTGAAACCTGTTATTGCCTTCTTGCTTGATATGAAGATGAAGAAAAGAAAACCTTCCCAGAAATTTTCAGATAATTAAAGAAAGTAATTATCTCTATCACAGGGCCCATTAAATGTAATTTCTAGCTTGTAAACTTATTGTGCTCTGATTAAAAGTACTAATGAGAGACCTTTGTTATTCTCAACATGTACTAGTTCCTATTTTTCCCAGCACTGTATCCAAGGTCCTTTTGCTCCATCTAGTGGCTGAATTTTTTAAAAAAAATAGCATCTGTCTGTGGAAGTATTTTGTTAATTTTTATGTGGTGCTGAGGATAAAGCCTCCTAAGCATCTCTTACTTACTTTTGAAACCTGACCCAATACTTATAAACCCATTTTATACAACCTGCTCTATCCTAGCATCATATAACTGCTTCTTGATGACTGTTCTATAAGTGTTACAAATTTAGTGCCTTTTGTCTTTGTTAGTGATTATCATAAAATAACTACCATGATTGTTAGTTATCAACTCTTAGAGCACAAAGAAGCAAGAATAGAAGATTTATGACCATTTTTCTCACCATATGAGTAGGATCACATTAGAATTTATTCTCTTTCCCACAGAGATCTTGCAGCACGTAATTGCCTAGTGGGAGAAAACCATGTGGTAAAAGTGGCTGACTTTGGCTTAAGTAGACTGATGACTGGAGATACCTATACTGCTCATGCTGGAGCCAAATTTCCTATTAAGTGGACAGCACCAGAGAGTCTTGCCTACAATACTTTCTCAATTAAATCAGATGTCTGGGGTAAGGTTGGAAGAGAGATTTTCCTTTGTGTCATTTTATTTTCTTTATAAGTCCTTTTAATTCTTTTGAGTTTCTCTTTTATATGACGTTTAAAAAGTCAATCAAAAAAGGGCGCTGACCCTGGGCCTGGTATCTCATGTCTGTACTCCAGGAGGCAGAGGCATAAAGATCACTTGAGACCAGGAGTTTAAGAACAGCCTGGATAACATAACAGGACCCTATGTCCAAAAAAAAGGTCTAGACCTTCAAAGAAGTCACAGTCTACAGCTCATATTGCATTGGAGTGCTAATGATCCATTCTTTGTAAAACTCCCTGCTTTTCACATAGGTTTTATTGCTCATTTCCGGAGCATGTGACACAGAACACTCTTTTCAAGGAAGGCATGAGGAGGTTACATCTAGTATTTGTCCTTCTAATAGATCTTGTTTCTAATACCCTGAGAGCAGAAGGACTTATTAGATAGAGTCTACCTAGTAGGCTGAGCAAGTCTGAAAATGTAGATTGTGGGTAGGCAGAAATTGTTGTAGGATTCTAAGTCACTTCTTTCCAGAAAGCTCCAACTCAGAGATAATCAAATTGTGATATAATCAAGCAAATTCTTTTTTTTTCTACTGTTAATTTTACCTGATTTTAAATGAATCTATTTTTCATTACTTTTCTGATTATTAGCCAACTTTAAAAATCATGTAATTCATTAAATAGATCAGAGACTGTTCTAAGAATAGTTAGATTATGTCACAGGCTTTATATCATCTTAGTTTGTTATACCTTAGTGTAATAAAGAAAAACCTAAATAAAAATTGTGAATTTTAGAATTGTCCTGAGATTTTTTTTGGGCAGCATTTCTGTGGCAGATACCTTAGACAAATAAATCATGCTCTAAAAATTGGCAAAAGGGTATATTAATGTTGCTGTGTGATTATGAACCAAAAAAAATTGGGTAGCGGGGTACACTTTTTTTTTTTCTTTTGGTACTAGCACTTTACCACTGAGCTACATTCCCATCCTTTTTTAATTTTTAATTTTGAGATAGAGAGGCCCTAAGCAACTTAGCAAGACCCTAAGTTCCTGAGACTGACCTTGAACTTGAAGTCATCCTGCCTCAGCCTCCCAAGTCACTGGGATTACAGGTGTATATCACCGTGCCTGATTGTGAATCAAAAGAGACGTTACCTAATGATAGAAAATAAACAATAAGACAAAACACTAAGCTTTTTTTTCCCCCCCCTTATTCCTTATGCAGCTTTTGGGGTACTATTATGGGAAATCGCTACATATGGAATGTCACCATACCCAGGTATTGACCTGTCTCAGGTCTATGATCTACTGGAAAAAGGATATCGAATGGAACAACCTGAGGGATGCCCTCCTAAAGTTTATGAACTTATGAGGGCATGTGAGTATTTGTGCATATTTTAATTTTGAAATGCCAACAAGTTGGGATGGTTAACAAAATTGGAAATATTCCTTTCAGTATTAGATTGAATCTAGCTTCATGGCATTTAAAAAGTTTGTCATTTATCAGCTAGCTGAAATAGGATAGGCTCTACCAATGAGTCTTACTGGAATCCTAAGAATAGTTGTCTGCAGCCCAAATATTGATCCAATTTCTCAAAAAATTGTATATTTAATAAGATCATAAGAATTGGGTTTGTAGAGGAGTGTTGGAGTAGTAGATTAAATTACAGTTGTGTTCAAATACAGGTTTTATATTATTTTCTCATTGAGCATTGGCAAAAGTGAATTTTAAATGTCTCCTTTCTTATACCCTTTTAAATTTCTGGATATATTTGGGCTTGTTTCTTCACAACGTTTAAAGACAGTTTTTACTTATTTCATTTTTCTGCTAGAAGAAAACTTGCCATTTTCTAAGTGATTTTACACCCCTTCTCATTTTTACAGTAGAGGGAATGGGAACTGAGGCTGGATAGAAGGACCAGCCTTACTAAGTGGATTCTTAAACCTCTGGGTCTAGAACTGAGAGGTAGCTACATGTCTGCCATAATGAACATGTTGTAACTAATAAACCCACATCATGATGCATGAGCCTCATTGTCTGGTATGCCGTTGGATATGTAATTCTGTCAAGGAACTAATTCTCTTCTGTCACATAGGCTGGAAATGGAGCCCTGCTGACAGGCCCTCTTTTGCTGAAACACATCAAGCTTTTGAAACCATGTTCCATGACTCTAGCATTTCTGAAGGTAAGAATCCGGTGGATTTAGTGTTGGTGGCTAGTTCTGGCCTGTGGGGAGTGGTGGGTTATTACATGCCAAAAGTATTCAGCTCCTCTGGCCATGGTGACACTTGCTTGCCTATAATCCCTGTGACTTGGGAGAATGAGGCTGGAGGATCCGAATACAAGGCTAGCTTCAGTAAGTTATCGAGATACTTTCTCAAATTAAAAAATAAAAAGGGTTAAGGGTATATAGCTCAGCAGTAAAACATTCCTGTTTTTTTTTCGTACTGGCCCCAGTACCCAAACAAAACAAAACAAAACAAAAAAAGGGATCTGCTCTTACACTTGACAGCTCTGTTTCAAGATATTCGGTTAAGGCTGGGATTGTAGCTCAGTGATAAAGCACTCGCCTAGCACATGCGAGGCCTTGGGTTTGATCCTCAGTGCCACATAAAAAATAAATAAATAAAATAAAGGTATTATGTTCAACTACAAGTAAAAAATAAATATTTAAAGAAATATGGTGTCTCAATTAAAAATAAAGAAATTAGTCTCTTCATAAAGAAAATAAGTTTGAAAATTCTTTATGTATCAACATTTATGATAAAGGGAAGAAAAGAAGAAAAAGTAATATGAAAATACCAAATTATTCGAACCACATACCAAGTCATAAAAGCAATATTCAGGGCTGGGGCTGTAGCTCAGTAATGGAGCACTTGCCTAGTATGTGTGAGTCACTGGATTCAATCCTCAGCACCACATAAAAATAAATTAATAAAGTTATTGTGTCTAATAAAAGAAAGCAATATTCTATCATTCATCTTCTAGAAATATATCTTAAGAAAATAAGAGCATAAATTTAGCTACAAGGTTTAAAAATTTAAGAACAACCAAACATCTACTGTGCTGTTAATTATTATAGTATTATTGAATACTTTAAATTGTATTCTTAAACCTGTTGGCATGGAAAGAGGTTTAGAAGAGATAAATTAAGCTATCAACAGAGATAAACCACTTCTTATTTAAAAAACAAGGTATGGGCAGGAATGGTGGCACAACACCTGTAATCCCAGCCACTCGGGAAGTTCAGGCAGGAGATTAGTGAGTTTGAGGCCAATCTGGGCAACTTAGTGAGGCCCCAAGCAATTTAGTGAGGCCCTGTCTCAAAATAAAAAATAAAAAGGGCTGGTGATGTGACTTAGTAGTTTAGTGCCCCTGGGTTCAACCCCCCAGTGCCAAAAAAAAAAAAAAAAAAAAAAAAGTGTCTGGATACATATACATACAGGTAGTTTTCTTGGCATATAATGCCTCTAAAATTATGTTCAAAAGTCAAACAATAAACTTATTATAAGGAGAGAAGGCCTGTTCATAGCTAAAAATATACAATTCTTAGTTTCCCTTGACTGTAGACACTGTGATAAAATGCTGGAATTTGGTATGTATTTTCAGATTTTTTTCCTTTCCTTCAAAATAGAACAGAGTCAAGCACTTAAGTTCTGTATTAGAAGAAATCAGGCAAGTTGATTTTTGTCTGCTTTCCTTAGTAGTTTATCACATTAGGTAAGAGAAAGGAAAAAAGAGAAGTTCACTACCAAAGGTTAATGAAAAATATTTTCATCCTTGCCCTTTGATATTGGGAATTTCTGTTGGTTGAGGAGGGCACAGCTGGTCTTTGGGGCCTAAACGCATATGACAGTCACAGCACTCTCCCTTCCTCTATATGTGTATTTCCCATGGAGTCAGAGTATTAGAAGTCAAAGAGTAGGGGCCATTTCTTTGGTACTTTTGTGTTAGCTTCTCTTGACTCCTTAGTTTAATATTTCTGCTTCTCTTGAAAATGTATCCCTTTAGAACATGAATGTTTATCAATTTTCAAAACTAATGCCAATTCAAAATTGTTAAAAAATTTTTTTTACATTATTCAACCCACAATTATTGACCATTTAGTCTGGGGCCAGGTGTTGTACTAAGTCTGGAGATACAGAGATAAGACACAGTTGCTAAAATAGGGTTGTAAATTTATTAGTAAGATGTAAGTAAAAGAAACACAACTTAGACTCTAAGCAATAAAAGGAAGATTTTGTCGCTCATAAGCAAACCATGGCAAAGCAGAGCGGATGCCAACCTCAGAGTTCTACAGACTCAAGTAGCTTTATGACGTCTTCCCTCCCCTTTCCCTGTCACTCCCACTGCCATCGAATTTCTCTTTACTTGTACTTTTGCTCTTCTCTCATTCTTAGACTCTTCCAAGTGGCATGGGACATAGTTGCCAGCATCTTTGAGGTCCTGTCTTTAGAGCTCATGATCAGGCAGGTTTGTCTGGCTCCCGCTACAGTATATAGTCATGTACCCATTCTTATGAGGAGTTAGTTCCAAAATAATTACCAAAAAAGTTGTAAAATAATTGCAGATGTTCACAGTTTGATTGATCCTACTTGCTTCATTTTTGTTTAGAAATGAATAGCAAAGTATGTGTTTACCTCAGAAAAAGCCACAAAACCCATGGCCAAGTTTTAAATTAACCGGCGTAATTACTAATGGAGTGAACACTTTTTCAAGAGGCTAATTTGCTTCATTTGCATGAAATGGAATGTATCTACCCTTTCTTTTTAAAAACCAAAATTTCTGCAGACTTTTGTCCACTTTGTTCAACTTTTGAACAGGCACTTAGTTAATAAAAATTTCCAAATGACCAATAATATAAAATCATCCCTTATCACCAGAAAAGGACAAATTAAACCATGATGATATACTACAACTTGCTTACTAGAATGGGTAATATTAAAATAGCACCAAAAAGCCTGTTAACTGTCAATTTTGGTAAACATGCAGAATAACCAAGACATTTATATCCTGCTAGTGGGAATGTAAATTGTTACAGCTATTTGAGGACAGTTTGGCAGAACCCACTAAACCTGAATGTACACGTACCCTGTGAACTGATAACTAGGATTATGTCAGGCAGACATGCATAGAATTATAAACCAAAAGATACATAGCAGGTTGTTCCTAGCAACATATTCTTTACTAACTAGAAACCTGGACATAGTCTAAATGTCCATTAAGAGGAAAGCAAATGAAGTTTGACATTCACACATTGGAATATTAGACAACAATGAAAAAGAATCTCTGGCACATGCAATAACATGTGAATCTACAGGCTTAATGTTGAGCAAAAGAACCGAGGGAAGAGAGTAACGCTCTGAATCCATTTGGTTAATTTGGTGTCTTGCTCTGTTGCCCATGCTGGTCTTGAATTCCTGAGCTTAAACCATCCTCTAGCTTCAGCTTCCCAAGTAGCTGGAGCTGTAAGCATACACCACTGCACCCAGGTGAATTTTATACTTTAGCAATCTATTCTTCATTTCTTTCTCAATTGTATGTTTTTTTTTTTTTTTTTTCTTGGTATTAGGAATTGAACCCAGGGGTGCTTGACCACTGAGCCACATCCCTAACCCTCCCCTCATTTTTAAATCTCTTTAGTTATTTTGGTTTTTAATTTGTTATAATCCCAGCCCCTTTTATATTTTATGTTGAGACAGGGTCTCACTAAGTTTCTTAGGGCCTTGCTGAGTCTGGCTTTGAACTCACAATCCTCCTGTCTCAGCTTTCCATTAGTTGTGTGTTTTTTCTGAAAAAGAAAAACTGCCTTTCTCTGTCATAAAATCGTTCTTTTCATCAGGCCTCTTGTCTTCTTCACAGAGGTAGCCGAGGAGCTTGGTAGAGCTGCCTCCTCCTCGTCGGTGGTTCCATACCTGCCCCGATTACCTATACTTCCTTCCAAGATGCGGACCCTGAAAAAACAGGCGGAGAACAAAGAGAACATTGAAGGAGCACAAGATGCCGCAGAAAATCCTGCCTCCAGTTCAGCACCAGGTGAGGCCCTAGGAGGTAGAACCAAAGCTGAAACTGCCTTTTTTAAAGAAGTGTAGATACGATGCTTTTGTGCCCGTTTTATGCCCGTCTTCCCTGAAGACAGTATGGCCTCTGTTCTACCTCTAGTGCTGGTCCTGCATTGCTATTGCTAGTAGTTCTGATCTGTCTGTCCAACATAAGACTCTGCCACGAGCTCCATTTCCTCAGCCCTGGCTCCTGCATAGTTACCATCTTTACAGTTCTGGTGAAAATGTCTTCATTAAGCCGGATAGGTGATGCCAGATACATTTGTTTTTAGAAACAGGATGAATACTGAGGTAAGAATCAGCAGGGTATTTCCCCCCACTTACACCCACACCACATTTGGAACACTAATCACCAAGAAATGATAATGTATTTATTAATTTCTTCTAAGTACCCCAACACTTGACACTTTATTGATGCTGACAAAATTTTACAATTCAGTCTTAGTTACTCTAATGGATTCTCTTCTTGTCTTTTACATCATACTGATTGTCCATTTCTCATTAGGGTTCATTAGAAGTGCACAGGCCTCCAGTGGGTCCCCAGCACTGCCTCGGAAACAGAGAGACAAGTCACCCAGCAGCCTCTTGGAAGATGCCAAAGAGACATGCTTCACCAGGGATAGGAAGGGAGGCTTCTTCAGTTCCTTCATGAAAAAGAGAAATGCTCCCACACCCCCTAAACGCAGCAGCTCTTTCCGAGAAATGGAGAATCAGCCCCACAAGAAATATGAACTCACGGGTAACTTCTCACCTGTTGCTTCTCTACAGCATGCTGATGGGTTCTCTTTCAATCCTGCCCAGCAAGAGACGAACCTGGTGCCACCCAAGTGCTATGGGGGGAGCTTTGCACAGAGGAACCTCTGTAATGACGACGGTGGCGGGGGTGGGGGCAGTGGCGCTGCTGGGGGTGGGTGGTCTGGCATCACAGGCTTCTTTACACCTCGCTTAATCAAAAAGACACTGGGCTTACGAGCAGGTAAACCTACAGCCAGTGATGACACTTCCAAGCCTTTTCCAAGGTCCAACTCTACATCTTCCATGTCCTCAGGGCTTCCAGAGCAGGATAGGATGGCAATGACCCTTCCCAGGAACTGCCAGAGGTCCAAACTCCAGCTGGAAAGGACAGTGTCCGCCTCTTCTCAGCCAGAAGAGAATGTGGACAGGGCCAATGACACGCTTCCAAAAAAATCAGAGGAAGGTGCTGCTCCAGCCAGGGAGAGACCAAAAGCCAAACTGTTGCCCAGAGGAGCCACAGCGCTTCCTCTGAGAGCCCCTTCTGGGGACCCAGCCATGACCGAGAAGGACTCTCCAGGGGTGGGAGTGGCTGGAGTGGCAGCTGCACCCAAGGGCAAGGAGAGGAATGGTGGGGCACGCCTTGGGACGGCTGGAGTCCCGGAGGACGGAGAGCAGCCAGGCTGGTCTTCTCCAGCCAAGGCTGCGGCCGTCCTTCCAACCACTCACAACCACAAAGTGCCAGTCCTCATCTCGCCCACTCTCAAACACACTCCAGCCGACGTGCAGCTCATTGGCACAGACTCTCAGGGGAATAAATTCAAGCTCTTATCTGAGCATCAGGTCCCATCCTCTGCAGACAAGGATCGCCCCCGACGGGTAAAACCAAAGTGTGCCCCACCTCCACCGCCGGTGATGAGACTCCTGCAGCATCCGTCCATGTGCTCAGACCCTGCGGAAGAGCCAGCTGCCCTGACTGCAGGACAGTCCACGTCAGAAACACAGGAAGGAGGGAAAAAGGCAGCTCCAGGGGCCGTGCCCATCAGTGGGAAAGCTGGGAGGCCGGTGATGCCTCCACCCCAAGTGCCTCTGCCCACATCTTCCATTTCGCCCGCCAAGATGGCCAATGGCACAGCAGGTACTAAGGTGGCTCTGAGAAAAACCAAACAGGCAGCTGAGAAAATCTCAGCAGACAAAATCAGCAAAGAGGCCCTGCTGGAATGTGCTGACCTACTGTCCAGTGCAATCACGGAACCTGTGCCCAATAGCCAGCTGGTCGACACTGGACACCAGCTGCTCGACTACTGCTCAGGCTACGTGGACTGCATCCCCCAGACTCGCAACAAATTCGCCTTCCGAGAGGCTGTGAGCAAACTGGAGCTCAGCCTGCAGGAGCTGCAGGTGTCCTCAGCAGCTGCTGGTGGGCCCGGGGCGAACCCTGTCCTTAATAACTTACTGTCCTGTGTACAGGAAATCAGTGACGTGGTGCAGAGGTAGCCACTGTTAGCCTGGTGGGAAGATGCGTACACATTTCTGGGGGAGAGGGAAAGGGACATGTTTTCCTGTGTTCTTGTTTTCAAAAAATGAAAGACTGATACTTGAGTGTGTTTATGTGAAGTACCTCAGATCCCTGAGTTCTCACGTTTACAGGTTCATCTCAAAAGTAAAACACAAACCACGTGAACATAGGAGAGGTGAATTAGGTAGGGGCAAGGCAGTGGTGGACCAGGTTGGAAACCGCACCGGAAGTTGGGGAACTTGGGTGTGACAGAAATGCAGTCTGTCCCTACCTGGAACCCTGTGAGGTGCTGGACTGGACCACTGGTCAGCACCAAGGGTGACTGTGCTCCGGTTCACCTGGCAGCTTCGGTGGGATAAGAGAAGGAAAGCTGGGCCTGTGCCAAGAGCAGGTTTGCTCCAGGCAGCTGGGAGCCCTGTTAGCTTTGCTTCCACAGGTCATCGCTGCTGCAGTAAGAACTGCGGGTCAGGTTGCTAGAACACAGACCGGGAAACGTGGCCGCCTGCCTGCCCCTGTCTGCCTGCCTTTGGTGCATTGGTGCAGGGGGGTAAAGAGTGCTGGGAGGTGTCGTCTGGGAGGTTGAAGCCTCCTCCTGAAATGCTCCTTGAAATGCTCCCATCCCCCAGTCTGATACATTATTCATGGACCAGGACTGGCTGGCTGCTTGTTGGTGGCTGTCTGTCAACTGTAGGTGTAGAGGTCTCCTTATTGGTTCTGCCCTGTCCCTTGCAGGGCAGGCTGTCTTCCTTTATTTCTGGCAGCATTCAGGGCATTCACTCATTGATCTTGAAAGTAGGGGTCACTGCAGGTTCTCACAGGGGAAGCCTTTTCTGACATAGTGCCCCTGCATATTGACACACTGGCCGAGGACTGCATATTTCTTTACCAACTAAAATATCAAGGAGGTGGTCCTTTCTTGAAACTGTACAGCCAAGCCTGTGACAGAGGAGAAGCTGGCTTGGTTGTAATGACTGTTTCTCCCTCCCTCATCACCTTCAGCCGAACCGGGTGGACAGTAGGGGAAGGCATCCCCAGCACTGCACCCCCCCACTCCGCTTGAATTACCCCATTATGCTTTTCTCTTCTCACGTATCTGTCCCTGTCCTCCATCGTTGTACTTGTGTAGTTCATGTTGGGAATATTCTTTATTTATTTTACCATTTCATCTCTATTTTAAGAGTGCATAATTGAAGGAGTAGGTCCTTTTCAGGGAGTACCAGTTAGATCCTGGAAACCTAATGACTTACCCTTAAATATGTTTTGTCCTTGAAAAATAGGCGTTTCTCTTCCCTATTCAATATAATTATGGAAAACTATGGCATAGAGTTGAGTCTAATGGGTTAAATATTATTAATGTTCTTGGTATCAGGTCTAATTCCAGTTACTGCTTCATTCTTTTTAGAAAGCTTTATGAACCCTCCCTCCATTCACACTCCCCAAAGAGAATCCAGTACAAAGTATTTTTATTTTCTTCTCCCAAAGGAATATTAGCATAGGAAGATAGGAATTCAACATTGAGCAGAGAGTTTTCTTCCTGGCTGTCCAATCGATCCCCTGTCAGGCCTCAGCCCTGTCTCTTAATCCCTTAAATGATGGTAACAGTGCATGTTCTCAAGGGCGTTTTCAAATAAATGTATAGCTAACCCTTTGATAGCCTCCCTGGAAAGCTCTTTAATGCATTGTTATGTTGAATAGTTTTTCTTTCTTTGCAGAGTAGCAGATGCTACTGAATTTAGAACTGCTGAGCTTGTGTTAATTAGGCTAGAATACTGAGGAAGAAACTGTTTTCATCAGAGTTTGGCATTTTTTGACCAAGTTAGTTTTTTATCACTGCTGCTCCAAAGGAGGCTCAGGTTAAGAGAAGGATTCGCAGGGAGGAGACAGTACCAGGTATGCTGGCAGGTGTTGAGTGATCCGTGTCAGTATGTGACCAGTAGCTGTAACAAAGGCAACTGGTGGTCCTGTTAATATCTTTGTAGTAATTGGAAGAGAACTTGGATTTAAAGTCACCTTTTTTCCTTACTGCTCCCCCTTATCAAATACCATAAACTTGAACTTATTTTAGTAGTTAGTCTTTTAAAGGTGGAGAAGAGAAAGCTGAAATTTAGAATATTGTTATGCTGCTTTTTAAGTTTATCCCTGCCATTGTGGAATGCAAGTTAAGGGATTATAATTGTTTTCAGGTTTTTTTTTTTTTTTTTTAAACAAAGGCTCTATTTTTTCTTAAGAGTTCTGAAAATAAGCCTTGCAGAAACACTACTGAGTGTATTTCAGCTCCCTGGTTTTCTCACTGAAAAATGATCTTGAGGGTGGTGGGTGGGGGCTGCATCTTACTCAGGGCAGCACCTATTTCTGTCTTGCTTACAGTGGGTGCTCAATAAATCCGTACATTGAATTGATTCTTCTCAGCACTGTCACAAGTAGCATTAATTATCACAGCACACCCCATCCACATGATGCTTGGACTCTGTGACGTCAGGGGTGAGGGCTCAGGGCTCAGGTTGAAGAGGCACTGTCAACTTGCTATAAAAGTACAAGTTAGGTTTTTCCTTTTTACGCTTGTAAAGGACCAGTTTTAAAGAGAAAAAAAGAATCAAAACTTTATGTAAATTAAAAGGTTTGAATCCAAAGCAGAGAAAACTGCTTCTAGAGATTAAAAATGTCGTTTAATTTATCTAATCTAAAAGCAGGTAGTAAGGGAAAAGGCCTTGTACATTGTGTTGACGAGTGTCTGAAGTGGCTCTATAGATGCGCAACCTTTGGGTTGCCATGGCGTGTTTTCCTTTCATGTACAGGTAATATGATTTGACCTTAAATTTTCTACCTTAAAATGCAATATTTTGTGTTGACTATATCAATTGTGCATTACATAGAGTTTTCTCCTAAAAGGCTTTGTGTAAAGTTAACATGTACAGTTTTTCTTACAGACTCCTATCATGACTTTCAGAGACACAGCCTTAAAAATTTTGGCCCTGCTGGGGTGCAGTGGTGCACACCTATAATCCAAGCCACTTAAGAGGCTGAGACATGAGGATCATAAATTTGAGGCCAGCCTCAGCAACTTAGTGAGGCCCTCAGCAACTTGCAGCATGTCTCAAAAAACAAAAGGGCTGGGGATGTAGCTTAGTGGTAAAGTACCCCTGGACTAAGTACCCAGGCCAAAAAGATGTGTTTTATGTGTTCTTACAGTGAATTGAACTTGATACCAAGCTGTGAGCTCTGTTATGCAAGAATGTTTTTCTAGATGACTTATATATACATAGAGGTCATTAAAGCTGACACCGTTTCCCAGATGCATTTTAAGGTTTAAAATAGAAATTTTCTTACAATTCAATTGAAAGTTGGCAGTAAAATAGTTCTTAGTTCATAAAACATGCTGCCTATGCTAAGGCACAGCCCATGTTTATTTAACTAAAGTCATAGATCTTTTGCATTTAAAAGATGCAGTATAGATAGTGGTTTAGAGTTTGGGCTCAAAACCAGTGAAGAAGACAAGTCATTTAACTTTGCTGAGCCTCAGTTTCCTCGTTGTAAAACAGGGATGATATTAGTAACTACCTCAGGGTTGTTGTAAGGATTAAATGAGGTAATGTTTATAAAATCCTTAGCTCAAGTGCCTAGCACACATGGCACTCCATAACTGTCAACTAGTATTATTATTAACACCTAATCCAGGAATGTACAACAGAATCGTTTAGGGTTTTTTTTTTTTTTTTTTTTTGGTTTTGTTTTGTTTTTTTAAAGAAAAACTGATGAATTAGTCCCATTCCAGATCAGAATTCCCAGTGGGGTGAGATCTCAGCCAGTGTGCTTTCAAAGAATCTCACCAGGTATTTGAGATACCCAACACTATCTGAAAACTGTCAATGACCTTTTCTTCATAGATTAGGAGATCAGAGGAGAGGATGGTCAAGTCACTCTAGTATTATCTTAACAGTCAATGACAGGGCCAAGGCTGAATTCAGGTCTTCTGACTGCTGGTTGTGGCTCTTCACCACACCTGCTGCCTTGTGGGACATGCGAAGAAAGTGGCTCAGAGAGACAATCAGTGTGCAGGGCGCTGCACGCTCTCTAAAGCACAGGCTCACGGCACACTCTGACCCTCAGGGGCTTGACTGTTGAGAAATGGCAGCTCTGGCAGAGCAGTGTTCAGGAGAACTCTGTGATTTAAAAGATTATTTGGGGTCGTTCTTTTGGACTGATCTCACCAACAGCCGTCTGCACTTTGTAGTAAAGGAATATCAACTTAAAAGTTGTTTTTTTTTTTTTTTTTAACTAGTCCTACATTCCTTTTTCTTAAACGACTTTATTGTTCAATATCACTTTAATGACTGAGATAATGTATATGAAAGCACTTTGGAAAAGTATCAAATCTAATATAACTATAAAGTTGTATTATGAATGTCTGTGTAGAAGAGAAAACATTTCACTAGTGCTGATTGACCTAAACGCTTTTACCTGGGGGGACCTGAAACTGCAGGTATATGAAGAATCACCTGTGTAATTTATACATTTATAAACATGAAACTGCTACAAGAATATGTGCAGGTATAGCACATGGTTTGCTACAGTTATAGTTCAGAGCTGAATAAGTTCAGGAAAACTAGGGACCAACTTTATGGTTTAATTGTGCTCTTTAAAAAGTAATGAAGTGTACTTGGCTTCAGAATACGGAAGCTCTTCTGGGGACCTTGGCTCAAGAAGGATGAGGCCTCTTAGTCTTGAATATTTGTCTACAACCTGCCCAGCCATTGGTATCCTAAATGTGGTGGAGCAGACTCGTTATCTGTTGGTGTTGACAGTGTCTTTTTTAACCTACGTCCTTTGTGGTTTTGTGGTGGGAGGATGCATGGGGCTGGATGACCTTAGGGCCAGGGCATTGGGTTATTACTTCTAGGATTTCCTACTAGTTGTGACATTGACATTTATCATCTTTGTTTTTATCCCAGGAAGAGTAGATGAACTTAATTTACCTGTTAGATTATTAAATACTGAAGAGTAAATTGCAGTGGGGCTGCTGTGGGTTACAGCTGTGCTTCATTCTGACCCCTCCCACCCCTTTCAATTTTTGCTTGCATTCACCTGTTCCACCTGGACTTGGGTCCATCTTTGTGTCTCAAGCATCTGTTATGACCAGTCCTTCTTAAGTAGGTGGGTCTCTGGGTTTAAGTTTCCTTTCAGGGACCGATAGACTCCCCAGGCTGTATTTCTTAGCTTCCATTAAGCCAGTAGCCCAGCTTCTTTGAAAATGCCTGCTTCCATTTGTGGGCAAGCGAGAGATCTAGGGAAAGGCAGCTCCAAGGGCACTCGTACCTTCCATGTGACAACCTGGGGAAACTGCTGGCTACAACCTCACCGGAAAGGCCAGGTCTTGGGCTGGTTCTAAAACTTCTGTTCTTAACAGGATATCTACATCTTTTGTATAGAGTTCCAGTTTTCTAACTTCCAGACTTTTCAAAGTCCAATAATTCAAGGCCAGCTTTTTGGGGGTTGGATGCCAGTCAGCAGTGCCTGGAGTAATGGTGACTGTTACTGCCATGTTAAGCACAACCTCACTGCCATCCCTGCCCTCCTCTTAGAAAGCATGGGCAAGTTTCAGGGCTAGGGACTGGACCTGAGTGTGGGCAAGATGGTATTTCCTTTGTTTCTGACTCATCCTAGATGTATAGGCCAGGAAATTAGGAAGCTCTACCCTTGTAATTGGGATAAAAGAAGATCCAGTGCTTCTCCTTGAGTAAGGAGGCCTACAGCAGGCATCTGGATTCTAAGCTGACTTGGAGCAGCAAGAGGCCACCCGTAAAGATTTGTACCTTCAAAGATTGGTTTATGATTTTTGCAGTAGAAAAGGTTTGTCTGCTCGGTTGCCGTCATGATTGAGCTAGGTCTGGGAGAAATGGGCTTCAGTGGAGCTCAAAGCCTCAGGCGGGGAGACACCACCACTGAGGGCTTTCCTCACAGCCAGCCCTGATGGGAAGGAATGCTGCAGGTTTCTCTGTCCCTGAGTGAGCCGAGGGAGGGGAGCTCTTCCTGGACCCTGCCCCACCTCCAGATGCAGGCACTTCTCTCCTCCTATGTACAGCTATGGATTTGAAATTGTTTACCTCTCCTAGGAAAATGTCTTTTCACCTCCCCATTACTAATCAAACTGAACACGGTAGCAAAGCCCTTTCAACTGGGACAGAGTGGACAGATGGCATGTTGAGTGGGTCTTCAAACCTGCAGACCATATAAGGGAATTAGTATACAGGGGACATAGTCTTTAAGTTGAAAGGCTAGGCACAGTCTTGTCCCCAGACTAGACCACGTTTAGGGCAGAATTGTGATACCTGAACTCTGCATTTTCTGGGAGATTCTTTTTTCACCATTGCAAGAGCAAATTTCAAGGTCGTATAAGTCTCTGCAAGTGACTGAGCTGTGCACACAGAGCTTGAGGTCTCCGAACGTACTACTTAACCCTTTAAGGAGCTGGTAAAGGCAAACTGTCACATGCCAACAAGCGTTATAAAGGAAATGCAGGAGTTCTTTGGTTGGAACTGGGTTAGGTTTGCTTCCGAACCTCAGAATAGGAGGTTTAAATCATGTTTAGGTACCATAAAATTTAGTTGGAGAAGGGGACTTGTGCTTAATAATTTTTTTCCACATATGGGTACCTAATTTTCAGTGATTATTATACAACAAAAATAAGTAAGCCAAATAAATTTAATCTTGTTTAGAAATTGAACGCATGATGCTCAGTGCTTTAGGGTCCTTGGTAATGAACTCCAGGTACTGCTCTGTCGTTTTTAAGTCCCACACAATGTATTGTGCGTGGCAAGAATGCCGAGAGAGAGAGAGAGAGAGAGAGAGACAGAGACAGAGACACACACACACAGACACACACACTCCTGATAGATGAGGGCTCCCTAAACCAGCTTTCTTCATTTAGACAGCCAGTTTTCATTGTGGCCACTTGGACTCCATTATGAGAAGAGGTTTCTGAGATCTTGAGAAATCACCTTGATCAGGCTGACTGTCTTCCAGGGAATTAGTATACAGAATTAGAACAATGAGGCACTTACCTTGTAGTTCCCTAAGGAACTGTGTTTGAAAACCCTCCCCTCTCAGACCTGTGCACACATTTATGTCAGTCTGTTGTGCGCCCTCCCTGAGAAGCAGGGGTGTAAGTGCAAGGGGAATGAGTCACATCTTGCCTTGTGCACAGGGGCAGTGGCGGGGTTGGTGTGTTGGCCACAGGCAGGCTGGCTGAGCCACTGATGCAGACACAGCCCGTCTCCCTCATAGACCCTGCATTTTTCCTTCTTTGCTTTCTGATTTTATAAAGACATCAGTGGAGAAACCCCAGTTTTGTGCTTGCTTGATTAAAAAAAAAGTTTGGACATTTCATGGTTGTTGACAGAACTTTGTCCTGAAACATGCTAATTCAGAAAAAGTGTTCAATGTTTATACCAAAGGTTACGCTCTGCAGGTGTGTGGTGCACAGAGAGTGCTATGTGTTGCTACGGGGACACAGTGCACAGTGAGACAGTATGGGATTAAACTGAAAACACGTCAATCATGGGTCACCTACCAGTGTTGTCAGGTATTTGTTCTTTATTGTTATTGTAATATATTTTCAATTGTTTTTCTAATTTAATTCTCACTCTGTTGTCTGACTGTGAACTGCTAACAGTGTTAAACTTGATGTAAATAAATAATGCCCTTGAAAGGGACTGCTTTCTGCCTGTCGTCTCACAAGGTTTGCAAGTTGTGTTTTGTTTTAAATAAAGGTTGCAATATTTTATTGACAAAGTGAACTTGAGTTTGAAGTGTTTCTCCCATGATTTTAATTGACAGGAAATCTAAGCAGAATTTCTCTTTACATAAAATAAATGTCATTTTTAATGTAAAGAAGCGGATTTTAGCAAGCATCCCTCTAGTGAACTCTGGAGCGAGGGGTAAATCTCATCCTTTGGTGGTTCACATTTTTTACATAAGGCCTGGAGCCAGGCTGGTGTACATAAGGTAGGTAGTGTGACTCTCCAACATGAGATGACTATGAAAGCAAACCTGACTCTCAAAATCCATCCTGAGTGAAAGAAGAACCGACACGAGACAAGTCACTGGAGGAGTTCCACTTTATTACAAAAGGCTGTGGGCTTATAAAGATCTAAGGAGAGGTGGCAGGGCTTAGGAGAATGACGGGTCACTCGTTTATTGGTAAGTTCTTCCAGATGTCAGTTCCGGGGCCCACAAAATTAGTTCCTATTGGGGCTAAGGTTTCCCGCTAGCGGGGTTTGAATATTGGCGCCGGTGGGAAAGCGAAAGGCAGGAAGAGAAGCTCCTCAGGCACCATGAGGCACCGTTATACCTTTTCCCAACACTGAGAACAATACCAAGTTCTAAAAATACTCTGAGCCAAAGTAACATTAATAGGATAAATATATAGACACACAGGAGGGAACTTTCTTTTTCTTTCTTTTTTTTAACTACTGAGCCCTTTTTATTTTTTCATTTTGGGCAACTTAGTGAGACATTGTCTCTGAATAAAAAAATTAAAAAGGCTGGGGATGCAGCTCAGTGGTAGAGCATTTTCCTAGCACATGCGAGGACATATTCTCAATATTACACATACCACTCCTGATTTTTCTATGTTGACTTTGTATCTTGCAACTTTACTAAATTTGTTTAACAGTTGGAGTGTTTTAAATTATTTTAACTTTTTTTTTTTTAGTGGAGTCTTAGAATTTTCTCTTGTCATCTGCAAACAGTGATAGTTTAATTTCTTCCTTTCTAAGTTCGTTCTCGTGCAGTACTACGCTAATAGACATGAAAGGACGTACCCTTGTCTTGTCGTGGGCCATACAGGAAACACTTTCAACGTATGAGCTGTGGACCTATGATATATGGGCTTCTGTACCTAATTTGTTGGGAGTTTTTATCATGAAGGGATGTTGAATTTGTCAAATGATTTTTTTTTTTCTACATCTCTTGAAGTGATCATATGGTTTTTTCCTTCATTCTGTTGCTGTGATGAGTCACATTTATTGCTTTGCATATTTTGAACCACCTTGCATACCCGGGCTGAATCTTACCTGGTCATGGCAGGTGATCTCTTTAATGTGCTATTGAATTTGGTTTTGTAGTATTTTTTTTTTTTTTAGGGTTTTTGTATCTATGTTCATCAGGGTTATTGGCTTTTACTTTTCTTTTATTGTTATGTCCTTGTCTGTTTTCTTTTCCAAGTCTGGAAGTACACCCTCCTCTTCAGTTTTTTTGGAGTAGTTTGATTAAAACTGATGTTCTTTAAAGGGGAGAATTCAGCATGAAGAGCTCGGTTTCTGGGCTTTTCTTTGATGGGCGACTTTTTATTGTTGATCCAATCTCATTAATCCTTCTAGGCGTACAGATTCTCTGCTTTTTCATGATTCAATTCCTGGTAGGTTGTGTATGTCCGGGAGTGATTCGTCGGTGTTTGTTTATAATGGTTTCTTGTGATCTTCTGTGTTTCTGTAGCATCTCTAGTAACGTTTCCTTTTTCATTTCTGTTTTTATTTGGTTCTTTTTTTCTTTTTTCTTAATCTGGCTAAGGTTTTTATTATGTTTATCTTTTGTGGTTGGGTGGGGACCAGGGATTGAACTCAGGGTCACTCGACCACTGAGCCACATCCCCAGCCATATTTTGTACTTTATTTAAAGACAGGGCCTCACTGAGCTGCTTAGCGCCTCACTTTTTTGGCTGAGCCTCTGGGATTACCGGGTTGTGCCACCGCTCCGGCTGAGACTTGTTTTGTGGTCTAACTTGTGATCTGTCCTGGAAGCCGCTCCAGGTGCAGTTGAGAAGAATGTGTGTTCTACAGCAGGCGAGTGGAGAGTCGCATACATGTTGTTAGGTTGTTTGGGCTGGAGTGCAGTTTAAGTCTGGCCTTTCCTTGTCTATTGCCGGCTGGATGATCTGTCCATTGCTGAACTTGGGGTGTTGAGGTCTCCCACCTATTATTTTCTTGCAGCCGCTCTCTCCGTTAGCTCTATTGGTGTTTGCTTTGTGTACTCAGGTGCTCTGATGCTGGTTACCTATGCACTCACAGTTGTACCTCTAGCAGGACTGTCCCCTTGATGACAGTGTGATGCCCATTTGTCTTTTTTATGGTTTTTATTTAAAGTCTGTTTTGTCTGATATACTCCTGCTCTTTGGTTTCCAATTGCATGGAATCTTTTTTTTTTTCCGTCACTCCCTTTCAGTCCACATGTGTCCTTACCAGTGAAGTGACGCTCTTGAGGACACATGGAATCTTTAGCTTTTAATCCATTGTGTCTTTTAATTGGAGAACTTAATCCATTTACATTCAAGGTGATTATTGAGAGGTGAGGACTATTACTGCCATTTTGTTGTCTTCTAGTTGTATTCTATTTGAAGCACCTTGCGTATCCTGTCTTCATCTCTGGAAGTGGACAGAAGGCATTCTCTGGAGCCCAGGCGAATTTTTTGTGTGTGTATGTGTTTGTGTTTGTGTGTCTCCAACATGAGTTGACTACAAAGAGACGTTTAATTATTTTAAAATCCATTATGAGGACAACTTCAATTAAGTTCTAAAAATGTTTTGAGGCAAAGCAGTATTAATAGATTAAGTGTAGATCCTTCTATAGGAACGTTCTATTCTTGTTTGACTTGGTCTTAAATTTTAACAAGTGTCATTGCTTGCAGGCATTGCCTGCATTAGGTACTTGTGAAATGTGTATAAGTGGCAGGCAGGAGCCTGTTGGGATGTTTGCTATTTTTTTTTTAATATTTATTTTTTGGTTGTAGTTGCATACAATATCTTTATTTTATTTTTGTTATTCCCAAACCTTTCCCAGGCCCTCCAGAGTTTGTGCTAACATGTTGACTCTTGAAGAATGGGGACTGGCACTATGTGCTCAGAGGTCTAGAAGCTTCAGCCCCACTCCCTGACCTGTGGTGGGAGGAGAAGGCTGGACTTGGACTTCATCACCAGTGGCCAATGATCTCATCCGTTGTGAATGCACAATAAAGCCTCCATAAAAACCTCCAGTGCCGGGCTCAGAGAGCTCCGGGCTGGCGAACGCAGGAGCACAGGGAGGGTGGCGCCTGGAGCAGGCTGGAAGAGCCGCACTGCAGCTGGCTGGTGCCCAGGCTCGGCTCAGAGCCTCTCCTCCTCTGGCTGCTCCTGAGGGGTATCCTTTGTAACAGGCCAGCAACAGTGAAGGGTTTTCCTGTATCTCCAGGGCTGTGGGCACCTTGACTTGTAACCAAGTTGGACAGAAGTGTGGGTAACCACTACTTGCAATTGCATCTTTTTTTTTTTTTTAATATTTATTTTCTAGTTGCAGTTGGACACAATATCTTTGTTTTATTTATTTTTATGTGGTGCTGAGGATCGAACCCAGGGCCTAGATAGAACGTGCTAGGCGAGTGCTCTGCCGCTGAGCACAACCCCAGCCCCCAATTGCATCTTTTTTTTTTTTTTTTTTTTAGTTGTTGATAGACCTTATTTATGTGCGGTGCTGAAAAATCAAACTCGGTGCCTCCCACATGCTAGGCAAGGGCTCCACCACTGAGCCCCAGCCCCAGCCCTACAATTGCTTCGTGACGGGAAGCAGTCTTGCAGGACAGAGCCCTTAACCTACTCTCACTCCAGGTAGTTGATGTCAGAACTCGGCTGCAGGATGCCCAGTTGGTATCCACAGGAAACTGGAGACTTGCACGGAGTCTGTAGAGGAAGTTTTTCTGTCTACACCTCAAGCTGTGTCCTGAGCACTTCGTGAAGATGAACTCATCAAATCTTTCCAGCAAGGTAGGTGGTTAAGCCCAAATGGAAGTTAAAGTTAAAATGAGGTTAAATAGTTCCCTGGTGTCTCACAGAGGTGACTGGTGGAGCCACAACCCCAGCCCAGGGAGGCTGGCGGGGAATGTGTCCAGAACACTGTGTGCTACTGCTTGTCTCTGTTCCCATGTGGGCAGTTCAGAGCCTGTAGTTGTGACACCAAAAGAATGGCCAGTGCTAAAAGAATGTGGGTTGTTTTGTTTTGTGTCTCGAGACTTAAAAACAAACACAGAACATTCTTTCTGAAGTGTGTATTTAGCATTTAGTGCTGGGTGCACATTCTTCCAGAGGTGCTCCAGACCAGAGGACAGCTAACCTACAGCTAAGACTGGCCTCATCTGGCGGGCACCATGGCGTATGCCTGTAATCCCAGCTGCTTGGAAGGCCGAGGCAGGAGGATGGCAAGTTCAAAGCCAGCCTCAGCAAAAGCAAGGTGCTAATAAGCAACTCAGTGAGACCCTCTCTCTAAATAAAATACAAAATAGGGCTGGGGATGTGGCTCAGTGCTTGAGTGCCTGAGTTCAATCCCTGGTATCAAAAAGGGGGAAAAACTCACTGGCCTCATCTGACTGTACAGTCAGGCCAAGTTTACTTTTGTCCCATGAGTGGTATGAAACTAAGTTCCTTTGATTCATTTATTGGGCAGCTTCTTGAGTGCCTAACGTAGCCAGGGCTAGTACTCCCTAACCTTGGGCAGTTATTTGAGTTCTTGAGCCTGATAAAGTGTTAAGCGAGGGAGAGAGACGTGTTCCATTTCACAGGGCTGAAGATGAGAGGGTCAAGGAGGACTTCAAATGAAAAGATGACGACAAAAAAAGCACAGGCCTGTGGGTATTCCAGGACTGCAGAAGGGAAGGACCACGGAGGGGGACACAGAGGGGACCATGGAGGTGGAGAGGCACGGGGCCGCGAGTTCAGACCTGAGGGACTCGTTCCTGTTCCAGGCTATGGCAGGGACTGTTCTCACGTGCAAGAGCGCCGTGCCTTGGGAGCCTCTTCAGTAAGAGGCTGGTGTAACCCAGCTCAGCTGACATGGTCCCAAAGCAAGCAGAAGCTGGCAGACCCGCCACACACGCTGCCAGCTCCGAGTGCCAGCATCCACCGTCTCTGCCAGTCCCCATCAGGATGACCTGGATTTGAAATTTTGCTAAGTGAGCACAACTACTAGGTTTCAGTGAGCAAGCAGGCCAAGGAGGTTAGAAAAATACAAAATTTTAATCTCTACTTATGACAGTCATGTCAAAGCCCCTAATTAAAAACTTTTTTTTCCAACCTGCAGAGCAGAACAGGGCTTAGCCTACACTCTCAGAACTTTGCAGGTACTCTCTGCCCTTTTCCTCTTAGCCCAAGGCTCTGTGCTGACCCACCCACTCGCTGCTCATCATTGCTCTGGGGGTAGTGGCTTGAAAGCCAGCCTGCCCATCCTGCCAACCCAGGTGAGTCCCATGCTGGGCCACCACAGCCCTGTTCTGTAACCCAAGAACCCTTCAGCCTCGGGCCCAACCCCCAAGTCCAGCCATCTGCCAGGAGAGCTGCGAGGCCAGGGGGAGCACCCGCAGGGCTGCGAGCCTGGGATCTGTGGCCTCCTGCTGACTGTCTCCGGCCTCCTGGCCCACGTTGTGGAACGTGGGTCTTTAAGGCACCAAGTGATTGAAGAACTGGCTCTGCTTCTGATCAAGGCCTTCCTGTTACTCACTAGTTAGTTAGTGACTGCTGGATGCGCTGGCACCCCAGCAGCTCCGGGAAGTCCTCATTCAGTCTTCAGGGCAGGATGTAGGTAATTCTCTGAGGAACAGACTTGCAGCCTTGGGAAGAAAAGAGTTGTTCCTCCTTGGGGACATATGTCATCATCTTGGCGATCTCGTCCAGGGACTCTTCTGTGTGCGGGAGCTCCTGGCTCAGGAAGGCGTCGCGAGCACACAGCCTCACGTGACGGTATTCCAGTGGCAGGAAGGGGACAAAGACGTCAATCAGGTCTTCTTTCACCAGACGGCTGTGGCCAAAGCCACTGTCTGAAATCAAGACACAAAGTCACATGGAAGCTGACCCGAGGCTGAACCCAGTGGGGCTCTACTGTGTCCCAGGACCCGCAGCATGGGCAGGATTTGGTCTCGTGTACAGTGCCAGGGGGGCTGTCTGCAGCACATGCCAAGAGCCACACCACTGGGTCTCCTGGAACAGGTGAGCAGGGTGCAGTGGCTGGTGCCTGGCCTTGTCCAGTGGCAGGAGCAATCCTCCATTGGACAAGGCCGTGGAGGCTGACTGCTGAGGGTCTCACAGTGACACTCTGCTCAGAGCCTCTGTGTCTCCTGGGCCAGTGCCAATGCCTCTTTCAAAGCATTTTCAGAAAGGCACTCTTCCTGTGCCACCCACGGTTGACAACACGGGATGACTGGAGCGTGTCTTCTGGATGGTCAGGGCCCCTGTGCACCTCACAATCACACCACCAGCGTTCACGCTAATCACCTCCAACTGTGGCTTGTCTTGTGCGTAGGTCACTCACCTGTGGACCCCATGATCTCGGCTCGGAGGCGGGGCTCTAAGTCTTCCATCGTAATTTCTTCCCGGGGCCGTCCAGCCTTAAGCCATGTCAGGACCACCTCGTTGACGACGTTGCCCCCGAGGTTACTGAAAGAGACACGAAGGGCCTGTTGACAGAGCTGTATTTTTAAGCCTAGATTCCCAATGGGTTCCCTGACCACGAGGCCAAAACCCCGGTGCGGGAAGAGTGGAGGCTGCGGGCCCGGCCTCGGCCCTCCCGGGGGGACCTTGGCACAACTAGCATCTGCATAGAAAAGACGACGTCCTGCCTTGCCACCCCCTCTCCCGCTCCCTTTGACAAACGCTTAGAAAACTGCCAGGCGCAGAGGGCACAGCAATGGTTAGATGTGGTTCCTCCTCTGAGTTCTGTGGGACAAGGGCCTGAGGCTCCAGGACAGTGTGGCAAGTGCTGACCAAGGAGAGCCTCACATCGAGGCAGAGGGCGAGTAACGGTCCTCAGAGCCGAGGAGGAGGGGTGTGGCCTGACGCAGAGGCCCAGGAGGCTGTGCAGCAAAGCATCAAAGGCAGGCTGAGACTGGGGGGGGGGGGCCCTCGCCATGTTTGCAGATACGGGCCACGGAAGGGCTTGGAGCTGGGGAGCGTCGGGTGGCGACCTGGTCAGTTTTACGTTCTAAAAAGACCATTTCAGGGCTACAGAGACTGGATTGAAAGGCCATGGATGGTTGCAGAAAGCTAGTCCCCAAGCCTTCTGCCAGCAGTCCATGCTCAGAGGTGACAGATGATGGAGAGAAGGACAGAAGAATTAAGAAATACCACTGAGCCAGGTGTGGTGGTGCCTGTCTGTGATCCCAGCCACCGGGAAGGCTGAGGCAGGAGGACCACAAGATCAAGGCCAGCCTCAGCAACTTCGCAAGGCCCTAAGCAACTTAGTGAGACCTTACCTCAAAATAAAAAATAAATACGGCTGAGGGATGTGGCTCAGTGGTAAAGTGCCCCTGGGCTCATTCCTGGTACCAAAAAAAAAAAAAAAGAGGGGCTGGGGTGTGGCTGAGCGGTAGAGCGCTTGCCTAGCACATGCGAGGCCCTGGGTTCGATCCTCAGCACCCCATAAAAATAAATAAATAAAGGTATTGTGTCTCACTACCAAAAAAAAAAGAAAACACGACTGGCAAGACCCTGTCACTGATGGACATGAGAAGTGAGGACATGCGTCTGCCCTGGGCTTCCGACTGCTCCCGTCACAGGCGCCAATGTGCTCCCCACGCTCCAGTGTTCTTCCATGGCTCTGGGGGACTGGGGTGTCACTGGGCAATGGGAATTAGGGGTCTGGAGCACAGAACAGGACGGGATTAGTCAGGGGATAAGGCGAGGAACCCAGAGAGCCACAAACAGGAGCTAGCACAGAGGTGCACAGACCTGGGGCGGGAGCGCGGCCCCCTCCCAGCGCAGGCACCCACCTCCCTCCCACCCTCACCCCCACCCCAAGGCTGCAGCCCCAGGCAGCTCCTTGGCCAGCTCCGCCGGGGCCTCTCTGGCTCTGCCACCTGCCTCTCCACAGCAGGACGGGGAAGGTGGCAACGAAGGACTGTGGTAGGCGGGCAGCAAGGAGCAGGGTCCAGCACCTCCATTCCTCCCCTCCAGTGGACCTTGAGTCCCCCGGGTCACCCTCCTGTGTGTCAACTCACTTCCGGGCTCATTTAGCATTTGAGCACACCCGTGAGCAAGGCGCCCAGGCAGGGAGAGGGGCTGGGTGCTCCGGGCTCACATCTCCCCCGCGGGGGCACCCTCCCTGCCCAGCAGCTAAGCCAGGACGGACGGGCTGTCTGGCTGCGTGGTCCTTCCTGAAGGGACCAATGTACTCCTGATGACAGACTTTCCCAGGGGCTGTGGGCACTGCGGGGACAAGGGCATCCCCTCCCCTCCCTCCAGGTCAGCTGCTCAGCCAGACTTGTCCAGACACCTGCCTGTGGAGAGGCTGCTGGCGGCACTGCTCCCTGCTCCCCAGCCCCCACCTCTGTAGGAAGGGCCACAGGTCATCTGGACGCCTGAGGGCCTTCAGCAGAGGCAAGGTCACCCTGCTGCCAAGGGACTGCCCCCTCCCACGTTCCCCACAGGAGGCAGAGGCAGGTACTTGTGTCTCCACTGGCATGAAAGGCAGCTCCTGGGGTAAGGGCCAGACCAGCGGGGCTGACTCACCAGCTCCTGGGCAGACCCCAGGGCCTTCCCGCTTCCACCCAGGAGGCCACCAGACTCCAAGTGGGTGGGGAACAGGAAGCGTGGCCTATTTCTCTAAGGAGCCCCAGCACCTAGCCCAGTGCTCGGCACACAGCAGGGGCTCCACAGTGCGCATTAGATAAATGGACATGGCTGTGCATTGGTCCACGCCACCTCCAACTCCCTTCTGAATGTCCCCTCTGGTCTGCCTCCCCCTCCCCAGGCCACGTCTTTACCTCACCACGAGGCATGACCAGGAGGCCCCTCTCTCCGCCCCCTCCCCTCATCTTCAGCTCCTCAGGGCTGCCACCACCAGGCCACCTGTAGACAGACACTTCCCCCAGGAAGGACCTCACCCCCAGGCCCCCTGCCAACCAGGCCCAGCAGGCACCTCTATTCACCAGCCCTCTGTGGGCCTGGGACAGGACCACATCCAAGCTCACCAGCCCTCGGCCCGAGACCCCGAGGAAGGGACTCGGGTTCTCTCCAGGACCAGCCATCCCCGGCAATGACCCGGAACAGAGCAGCACCGACTGCTCCTCCCTGAAGAACAGAGGCAGGTCAACCCTGATCTCTTTGAGAGAAGGAAACCTGACCAAAGGTGCCCGAGTCAGAAAACGGGCAGCCACCACACACAGGTCACTGGGGGAGGTCCAAGCTCTCAGAGTCGCAGGGCTCCCTGCCTGTGCTGGCACTGTCCCTGCCTCGCCTGGCAGCGGCCCCAGGTAAATGGGCCTCATTCCCTCTTTCTTTACAGCTCCCCACCCCACTGGGGTCCTGCCCGTGACCCTTCCCGAGCCTTCTACCCGGGTAGAAATGAGCAGGAGTAGTCAAGGTTGGTTTCTGGCCACCAGACAGGAGGCGCCCGGGTTCTGGCCGACCTAGGGCCAGGCTCCGACACCCCAAGCCCCACAGGCTCACTCCCTGCTTCACTGCCACCTCGGGAACCGCGCCCTGGAACAGCACCTCCAGGCTCTGACCACCAGTGAGCCGTGCTTCAGGACAGGCCCCGGGACCCTCCCTAAAACGACCTCCCGAGCCTGGGGGAGCAGGAAGTGTCCCCAAACAGAACCTGAAGGACAGAACCTAAATTAGAAGGGGCGACCTCGGCGGTCGCCGGATGGACCAGGGCGCCCACCAGTCCCTGGCCTGGTGTACAGGTGCAGGCCAGTGCGCCCGGCCTCCGGAGCCACACCCTCCGAGGGCGGGAGGTGTGAGCAGCCTCCCGTCTCCCTGTCTCCCTGTTGGGGGAGCCGACCCAGCTCCTGCTCACAGCTGGGGCCGCCCGTGTTGGCTTCTACACACGCTGGGCATGGGCCCTGCCAGGTGTCACCCCCTCCCACCTGCCATCAGGAGCCACAGAGGGCAGGCCACCAAAGCCACTCAGGCCTCAGTGCAAACAGCAGGTTGGGCTATTTCCCAGGGTTAAATGGCAGGTGTTCCCCGGGTGTGACTTAGTCACGTTGGCAGCTCAAATTGCTTGTCGTCCAGTACAGTACTCCTCACCACGAAGAGGAGGTGCTTCCCACGATGGACCTCAGCGGAAGTCCAGAGACTCAGCGCCCCCATACACGTCTTCCCCACCCACCATCGCTGGACGCCTGGCCTCAGGAGTTCAGGGCAGCCGGGTGTGGGGTTGTGGGGGGGGGCTGCTGGATGTGGCCCTGCATGACCGGGGGTGGACAATGGCAGCCTGCCCACAGCCTCTCCTTGGTGGGAGGCCTTGGTACAAGCCAGTGCCTGAGCCACTGCAACCAAAGGCCACATTTAAGTGACCCTTCGAGTCCTTGTCACAGCTGTGTCCTCCTCCCGGGAGGGCAGGCTTAGCTGCTTCCTCCTGTGGGGGACTGGTCTAGCAGGACGACTCCCCGGGCACTGCCTCCACCCCATGTGGCTAGCGGTGGGTGTGCAGCCACGCGGCCTGCTTCAGTCCACCAGTCAGGTCACTGGGGGAGTGGGACTGCCCAGGAGACAGACAGCAGTACCGGCTGGCCGACAATCAGAATGCCGCAAAGGCAGACGTCTGCCTGGAGTCCAGGGCACTGGGTCAGGTTCAGCGACCACGGCCAGCGGGGGCGAGGCCTTTCCAAGTGGAGAGGTGGTGGAGGAGGGGGCCAGGAGGCAGCGGCCCACTGCCCCGTCCAGGAGCGGGAGGAGATACTTCTAACAAAAGTGCAAGCGGGGCTGGGCTGCGGCTCAGTGGCAGGGCGCTCGCAGGCCATGTGTGAGGCTGTGGGTTCCATCCTCAGCACCACATAAAAATACATAAAATAAAGGTGTGTGTCCATCTACATCTAAAAAAATATTTTAACAAATCATTTAAAAAAGTGAAAGGTGGTCCCCGTGGTGGTCCCCAAGCTTCATCCCGCAGGAGGGGACTGGCTTCTGCAGCAGCAGTTCAGAGGGTCCCCAGCACCCGCACCCCACGACCTGAGGGCTTCTGTGGAGAAGCCTTAGGGCCAAGGCCACTCCTCTATCTGGCCTCCTCTGACTCACTGCCCCAGGAGGAGTCCTGAGCCTGCTGCTTAGAACCTGGGGAGAAGGTTGAGAACCCAAGAAGCGACCTGTCCTCAACTCCTGACTCTGGGCACGCAGACTGTATCAGACGTCTCTCTTCAACTCACCCGGGGACCCTCGTCCTCCTCACAGCTCACGTCCCACAAGCCTGCACAGCAGGGTGGACTCGCCATCACACCAGAATCCTGACCTGGCACTAGTTTAAATCCGTCCCAAGGGTCCGCAGGAAGCCAGGCCTGCTGTCCACAGCTCACCCCTCCATGCTCCCAGCCTGGGCGAAATCGTCCCCACTCCCCATCCTCACCAGGTGTGCCCTGAAAACCCCCGGCAACAGGGGCGGCCAGGGGTGGGGAGGAGGAGCCAGCAGCCT